TTCTAAGGTTAACCTACCATTTATTTGTAAAGAAAGTTAGTTGGTATACTAAAGCGCACACTCGTGTGCTCGAGTTTAACTTAATTCTCCATTCTTGCAATCCCTTACGTTATCTCATTTGTCTATTTACATTATACAGGGCGAGTCGCGTAAACCGTTACAAGCTGTTACCTGAGAAACTACTGGCGATATCGACCAAATTTCTTTTCTAAATGGAATGCCATATAAATTTTTGTTGTTTCGAACAGTGCTTTTAGGAAGATTGTCTTCATATTCTGTATAGTTTATGAAATACAACAAGAAATGTCGTTTGCTGAAATTCGTGTCATTTGTGCTCCAAGTAGACAAACTATGTTATCAGACGTGTGTGTTAATTGAATTAAAAGAATTAATATGTCGATATTACCGATAATTTTTCAGAACGCGTATTTTTATTTGAAACTATAGTTATAAAGTATTGAATGTGAAGGCACTGAACTAATTTCTACGCCTAATAAAAGAGATGTAGACAAGCAGGATCCAACAAGCTCCCACGGCTTCGGTTGTTGCGGTAATACCGTCCGAGACTTCCGGGTCTGAGCAGAGTGCTCGTAGAAATGGTTTCCAACATTTAACCGTTGCGGTTATCCTATGATTATACACTGATGCTCGGGCCCGTGATAGGGAAGCATGCGGGAAACCTTTTCCAAAGGGATTCCCCAAAAAAATCGAAAAGTGTTATTGGTGGAATGATTTCAGGTATTATAGCCGAAGAGAAGCGGATATGCGACGACTGAACTAACTCGTTCAAGTTTGTAATTATTCTCTAGTTTGCCAATTTGTCGCTATTAATGCAATTTGTAATTATATACAGCTTTTCGACGAACAAAGATCTTTTATCATGTCAATTCACCGAGACGAAAGAGACACGCGTTCGTTTACAAAAGTGTAAATTTTGTTGACTAACCAAGGTCCCAAATAATCACAACTCCATAATTGTCAATTTCGAATTAAATGTGAAATTAGTTGAACTTATTATAAATCAAAACCTATGTTTCTTAAAATAACAGCGTTAGTATTCTAATCACGTCATGTATCGGTATTATTAATTTCTCTTTTGTATTTTGTAACTGACTAAAGAAAATTAAATGAAATGAAAAGAGAAATTAATGTTGTATTTTTAGATATTTGCATCTTTCTAGTCTGACATCAAATCATCCAATGTGTCTGTATATTTCTACCTAACGACGCGCGGTAAAAACATTGTAGAAGTACAATTATAGTAGGTACGTATCTCGGAATAAATATCTCAATCGCAACAGCGCGAGTTGAAAGTACGAGGTTCGCCAGTTATACGACCTACAATCCTTCCACTCCTTACTCAGATCCCGCATGAACTATTCGATTTAGAAGTAACGATATAAAAAAGAAGAATTGATTACGCGAGGCGTCAAGAAACGAGGAAAAAGAATCGAGCGATGTTTGAGTAGAAAGTTCAGACAGGAAGCAATTAATCAAAAAGAATGTTAAAAGTGAATATTGCTTGTTATGGCGAGTCAACGATTGTAAAAGTAGCAAAACAGACATTATTTAAATTCACAATTTAATTAACGTAAATTTAGTTTGTGTATACAAATTCGACTGTACTTTGTTTTGGCCCTCTTCAATAATGTATACGTATTTTTGATCACGTATAAGACGTAAAAAATAATAATAAAGAAAACGGTAAGTGAATTCTGTGCCGCTGTACTCAACCGTTTACAAGTACAGTTTAAGTAAAAATATTTATGATACATTTTGTTACGTTAAATTACCATCCTTCTAAGTTCTCAACCTGATTTCCATTACTATAAATCTATATACATGTAAATCTCATGCGCAATATTTTGCTTATTATAATTCTTCTATAATTATTATAACTACTCGTTATAATAATATCGATACTTGCAATTTGTTACGAGAAGAATAATAAGTAGACTGCGGATATTTATGCATTTATAGGAAATTTGAATGTGGAAGAAACTACAAAATGCAAACAATATGCAACAATGTAAAAAAGATTGAAAGTAATTCCTATTTAGGTTCAATTTTTGTAGGCACGTTCGCCAAGATTTTATTTTGGCGTAAAGATCTGCACTCTAATAATAAGCAAAATTTCTAACCTATTATGCTTCGTATATGTAGACAAATTGTAATAGAAAGTAATGAATTCATTTCAACACCTAATATATGTACACCCTTGTAACGTACGAGGGAGGATTAAAAGTTTCACGGTGTTTCTTCATAAATAAATGGTAAAACCTTAGAAAGGCCCAGAATGAATATCTATACCTAATCTAATGAACAAAATACCGAACATATAGCGCAGGAGAAAATTCAAACAATGCTCGTTTTGCTATTCTTACGGTTGTTAATCAGAGATGGAGTCCATGGCGCCAGATAATCTCGATGGCAAAGCTGGAGGTAATGGACGACCTTTCGAGGGCGCGACGCTCCGCCCCCACCGGATAATTCGAGAAACAATGGCAGCCAAAGACATGCAGAGGCATTGCGCACGGTAACAGCGAGCCTCGCGAGACTGACAGTGCTCAGGGAACTTTCGCTAAAGTTGAATGAAGTATCGATGCTTTCGAATATCGCGACCTCGCTGATACGACAAACGCGAAGGTAGCGATCCGTTCGATATCGATTTGAAAAGAATCGAAAGAACGCGAGCTAATAGTGACGATTCAAACGAATCGAACGGTTCGTCGTATGGAATAGAGTTTTCGAAGAAAAACTTATCATGCGTGAATCATTCCGCACGAGAAATACTTTATATCATACAGGTCTCTTCTAGAAGCTTTATTCGAGTACTCCAAAGCCAGAGTCGAACAAAATTTATTTACCAAGTCAAGGTTTACCGAGGTCAACCTTATCGACGTGCCCTAGCAGCATTGCCTGGACGAAATGCGAATGTTTACTTTTCTAACCTTATTCTTTGACATTCCTAACGTATCTGAGTCACGCTTTTATATGAAATAAAAGTTATTTCACAATTGATATTTATCATTAGTTTTTCATTTGATCTACAAACTGGCCATCTATTTATTTCGATACTCGGTATCGATCCGTCAACACGATCGCGTCTCAAGGTGACGTCCAATGTTTTCAGATCAGAGATGGGCGAAATGAAATGAAAATTACAATCTAAATTATCCGATCGAATGGTACTTTATATAGAACGAGTGGAGTAGCACCGAGTAACTTTTCAGTGAAATGAATTCAACTACGATTCTGCCCGTCTCGGACCTCTCACATAAAATCGCGAACGAGAAAGGAGCGACGCGAAACCGCGAATCGTTTCGCGCAAATTCCGTGTTCCTCCGTTTACTCGAAACTCGCGATGATTACCTTGTTTTGTAGCACGTCGATGAGCACGTACACCAACAGCGTGATTTCCTCTTCGTCAGAGCCGAGAGCATTACCCTGGAGACCGGCCGTCGCCACGTAAAGGGCAACCAGGTGAGTCGGTCCCCTCGCTCCCGTGGTCTGCATCTTTGCCAGGGTTACTTCGTTCCTCTCGTTCCGTTCTTGCACTGCTTATTCCCACTGTTGGATCAACGTACACCTGAACCGAAAACCTGTCGAAGGAGGTTCACACTTCACGCCGAACACGGACGGAACGGACGTTGCCGTGTCCTGGGTATGCGGTGGCAAAAAAAAAAGCTCAATCTTCGGCCCTTTTTCTCACCTGAACCGATCACACTACGCTAACTTCACAGACTGTCGGTATCCTGGCGCGACATATCGCTTACTGAACGCGATATTTGAGGTTATGGATCGATCGATAACCGTTGGATCGCGTGTCGATTGATGCACACGTACGTACGCGCGCCACGTTTGCGCAGGTATCGCACGATAACTCCGCGAACGTTCAGCACCCGCGAGTAAAAAATCGTTTCTCCGCGGCTCTGTCTTCGTCGATGAGACCGCCGTCGCGAGTGGCAAAGTTTCGTGCAACACTGGCGAACAACCGGCCGACCGTTGCTCGCACACGTCGTTGTTGCCTCACCTGGCGACTGCGCGTCGAACCCGGTCACTCGTTAGTAGAGAGGACCCTTCTCGCTCGCTCCCATTGCCCGTGTGCTTCCTTCCCGCACGACCGACTCGCGCGCACTGGTGGGAGTGTGGGACGGGGACCGAGCACATGCGCGCGCACCGTGCGCGACCAGGTGGGGGAACGTCACGGGAAAAAACGCGGAAACCCGACGATAACGGCACGGCAGAGATGGGCAAAATTCTTATCTAGATAAAATTAAATTAACAACATGGCTTAGTTGTACGGACGTTAATATTTTGTATGCTTATCTTATCTAGATAAATATTTTTGAAGGAGAGAAACGTCGACTTTTCGTTCGTTACCTATCGAACAGAAGTTGGAATACAAGTTATGAATCGATAGTATAGAAATTAGAAAAGAATATATCTTAAATGAGCAGATACTCGTCAAAGTAATTGTACAATCGATCAAATGTGAATTAAACGTCGTACTTGTAGCTATTTATCTTTTATTCGAGTAAAACGTTGCCCATCGCTGCGACACGGGAACGGATTTGAATTTGAGGAATTTCTTGATAGACGTTGATGTTCATCGTACGTCGTCGTCGTTGATTTCGGTGAAAACACAACGCAGCCAGGTTAAAGAGGCGAAGGGAAAGGCAGGTCGAAGCCGGCGACGCACTAGCCAGGTGCGCAGACATTCCACTCGCTTGCGGTACGCTTACCCCGCCACCCGACCGACGATTATTTTCCACCTGGAGCGCCACGTTTACCTCTTCATGGCGGACCCCTACCATTCGATATATATCGAACGGGTGAAACGATAGTCCCCGTATGAATGAGTTTCGAAAAGCTACACGAACGCGTGTAACTTCCGTAGTTACACAGGGATATCGTAAACAGCAAAATTTGTTGACAAATTTAATATTATTTCACTTTGATACCGAGTCCTGAAGATGTTACCAAACGAACAACAATCATCGATGTAATTTTGGCATTCTTCTGAAAAGGGAGGTTTCATTTTGTTGAAGTCTTTTAGTGGAGATCTACGTCATTTACTTATTTCTTAATATTCTCAATCTCATAAAAAGATCGCAACGTAAACAAAGGTTTGTTTAAGAATGCAAAATTTGAAACCGTCAAATTTCATTTGTTAGTTCGATTATGGTTACTGTACGCTCGTATACACCTATACAGGAACGTCTCTAAAACAGTATGTTTGTCGTTGAAATACTAGAAAGGGGAGAGCACTCGTAAATAATTTAAAGAAAAAAAAAAAAACAATTAGGTATTGGGAACTTACGTAAGTCGTAGCGTTAGTGTGTGTGTGTGAAACAGGTTGTTGGTACAAGAACCAGAGTAGGCAATATAAAATAAAAAGAAAATCGATTAATTTCTCGAGAGATATATTTTTTATTTAACTTGGGCAGTAAAATGCTATCGTAAAACGTTTCACCAGACTCTGCATGGGAATTCCGCGAATGTGCAAACATAAGTTTGCGAACACGTTCACTTCAAGCTGCAAACAAAGAATGTCGTACTTTTGTTAAAAAAATTACGACGTTGCTGGAATAAACAATCAAGTATATACGTACATTGGTATCTGACATCGCCCACGACAGTAGATTCTAGATGGTCGTAGATGTAAAATGACGATAAGAATAATGGTAATAATACCAGCAACCGTCTAAGAGACATTTCGAATGTCTGTTCCCACGAAATAAGATTTTTCTTTCTAACTTGGAAACTCTTTTTTTCTTATTTTGACAAGTACCAGGTGTACAAAAAGTTCGAATAATCAGTTCCAGCACACCCTATATAGCTGGTCGACGTTAGAAGGTAGATTTTCAAGTGGAGTACAGGAAAATGGCGACTACCTTGCGCACTCCCTCTGAGCATAAGGAGTCTCTAACAGCTTGTAAAAGATCACAGGTACGTACCGTCGCCTGTGCCCCCGTTTCGGTGCTCCCTCCATAACATGATCACGGCCTTGATAGCGTGCGTGCACGAGTACGTCTTACTCCAGTGTTAACGTTTTTTTCGCGACCGGTCAGCTTTTTAAAATCGCGCTGTCGGCATGCAATATTTAACAGTGATAGAAAATTATGCTTCGAGGGCATTTGGGGTATAGACATCAATGGATTAAATATATTTGGCATTGAATCTAAATAAGAATGAAATCATGATAAGAGGAACAGGAGTATTAACAGTTTCAGTATGTTACAAAATTACGAACTCGAGGAACACGTAACTTACATATTGGGGCAAGTGTATACTGCTCAATGACGAAGTGTTATCAAAATAGCAATATATGAAAAATTATTTAAGTATACATATCATAGAATATGGAAAAGAAAGAAATATAGTCTCTTCAGAAGGTATAATTTTTCCTTCTCAATTTATAAATTCAAAGCGGATTGAACGTGTTAATATTCTTGTTTAATCAATATTGCAGACGCAATCGAATTGAAGAGGGCTGAGATCACAGCTAGAAACGTATTGTAGTGGTATGTCTATGCTTCAATGACGTTAAACAGCGCACGAATGCGTTGTTTTTTCAAGGAATTAACATTGTCTAATTTTGCATTGTAGATCGTGAGCAGTGTTTAGTTGCTCTATACTAGAGTAAACTCTGGAGAGGAACGCTTCGAAAGAAAGTTGGAAACCTCTGTTTACCTTGGTCGTGGCTTCCTGTATCGGAAAACCATTTCGAGAACCGGTCAGAAAAATTCAAAACGTGTCCGCCGTGGATAACACGGATTCCTATAGTCTCCGTTAAATCGACTTTGGAAGGATAGCGAAGGAAAGCCGACGAGCAGCAGGTTGGCACGATCAGTGGCCAGGGTGGGGAAACTGGAGAACGAGAAGAGCTATGTATAGACAGAGAGGCAGTAAAACGAGCAACGAAGTGGGAAAGCGATCGTCGTCGGATTTGGTTGGAATATCCGTGAAGCGAAATGCTTAGCGCAACGTAAAAGCGACGGGTCTCGTGACAGGGAGACCGGATTGGTCGGTCACCTGTTGTCTGCCAACCGTGATTGGTCGGCGTCGACGGCGCGTAGCGGCTGCCAGAGGAGGACAAGTGCATCCTCGCTGGTCTACGATGGAACAAGATCGAGAATGGACATTATAAGGATGCCGATTTCGTGTACCTACCGCATATATATATGCTACATTATTTGTCCTTCCACGTCATCGGGTCAGCCGCCAGCGATTATGAAATACATGTTTACCGGTTTTACAGATTCCTTGATCAACGTCGTAACCGCGAAATATTAATATCGGAGAGCAATTATTTCCACGCTTTTGGCTTACAATGTCTGTTAACTGATATGGTCATCGTTTGCTCTTTTTTTCTACAGCATGCATATTTATCGACTATATCTTAGAATATTATTTGCATTTCTGACTACGCTGAGTATACCAAGGTGCGAGGCACAATGCAAAAACGGACGCGCAACGAGTATTGTTGCTTCTACAATTACTGAAATAAAAATTTAAACAAAATTTAACTAATGTATTCGTTACTCGAGATTCTTATCTAGAAATTTCGCTCACCTCTGGTCAAACATGAACGTGCACGCGTTGAATGAAATACGCGTCACGATTAATGACGAATGCTGAATGAAGCCATGAATGCGTGATAAGGTATCGTGAAATTAGGGAGGTAAGAAACGTGATTTTGAAACAGGTGTACGAAGAACTGGCCGAAGCAACGACGAGAATCACGCGAGACCAAAGTCACAGCGTTGAGAGCAAAGTCTGCAACGACGATGGAAGGAAAGCCGGTTTACGATATCGGACTCTGAACCTTCCGTGTCATATCGATCCTGCCCGAGCAAACGTTGCTATAAAATAGACACGAATTCTAAGTATCGCATGCATGCATAATTGACGTTTTATCATAGACTACTCTCGCTTTTTTTTTTTTTTGTACGCGACAGAAATATGATCGCGGCTGAATATGTATCTGCTGTACATCGTTATTTCGAGGAGTAGCATGTTGAAAAGATTATGGTGAAATTATATCTTCGCCGGGATAAGCAAACGAAGTGACCAAATCTGAACAAACAATTTTGAGTACGCATTCGAACTAAAGAGTTTGACGATGGAACATCACGTGGCTACACGTGAATGTTTCAAACGAACTTGAGAAACAATGTACAGCATGCGGAGGATTACATTCGTAATAATATTTGGAAATACGAGTCTTGCGGGGATCGAGGGAAAGACCATCGTGCGTAATCGACCTCAGCATACCAAACAAGCGATTCGGCTGACGATGCAAGGTCGCCTGGAAACATACAAAACAAGTGACGTCACAGGGTGTTTCGTTAACGCTTGGACTCTCGAGGGGTCAACAAACAATTAGTAAATATCCTTGAGAATCTCGCGACATACGTTTTTCGTAGTTAAGTTCCGCTCGAAATTACCAGATACATACCATCCCCTTTAACAAAATATAAATTTACATTGCTTGAGATTTCTAAATACGTACCATCCACTTTAACAAAGTATAAATTTGTCCACGAATCGAGTGATGGGGGAAGAACGTAAAATACCGCTACAAAGGGGAGAAGTTCCTCGAGTTAGGAACACCTGGCAGACACCTGCTTCTTAGGGGATATCAAAGCTGACCACGGTTGAGATCTAGGTCTGGAGCTAGCGTTTATCGTGTAACAATACCACGGGATAATGGCTCCAGATTTTGTAGTAAATCTGAAACGCGATAACAACAGGTACAGTAAGAACATTTTTTCATACAAAACATGTACAATCGGTACAATCATTACCGCCTAGCTGGTGTATAACTTAACCTAATGACAATCATAAGCATGAAATTAACCTACTACTTCAACGCATATATGTATATCATTGAGATTATACATATTTAAATAAATCATGAACTACTTAGAGCGCAGAATTTGTGACTCAGAAAATGAATACGCATTTTCAAGGAATTCGAGTGCTGGAAGAAAAAGAATAATACGTATTGTTCCTCGAATTAAGTAAACAAACATAAATATTTCAATTGGAAGTTGTAACCCTGTTTAGTATAATGGGATACATAAACACTTAACAATTTGCATCGATAAGAAGAATTTCTAAGTAATTGTATTTAAATGATAAATATTCAATAAGTATCTACGTACATATGATCCTGTCTATAAACTAACAAATATTCAAGTAACGACTTCAGAGGAATGAAGAATGAAGCAGCACAGCTCTTCCACGCCTGTTTTCGATTAAAGATGAATTTTATAAAGAGGACTTTCTAACCAATATCTCAAGACAGGATCAAGTTGCAATTTCAAGATTGAAAACCGGACTCACGGGATTTATCCACTCGTACCTATTAAATAAAGACGATGTTCCAGTATGTGACACGTTGTAACAAGACTACTGCGAACCACCTTATCCATCTTTCCAACAAATTCTCTACCAACAGGTTACACGCTAATGACAAGTCTACCTCTACAATTATTCGAACCATTCCAAAGTCCGATTTTCCAAGTTTCAGTGCTTAAATTTGTTAACTGTATCTTAAAGGGCCCTCGAAGTTAATCAGCTTTAAGCTTCGATAAATCTAGATCCTCCATCGTTTAGTTTACGTATTATATGTATATCAAATTCGCGTTTATTTCGCTAGAGGAAAAAGTACAGACTGTGTCTCGTTCCAAGGCACGAGACGTTCGATCTTCTCAAATCGTCTGAAAATGTTTCGATGCGATCCCGTTCATACTTCACGATGAACGATCCGTTTCGGATGCTCTTCCACGATAGAGAGAAGGGGAGCGGATTCACCGTTGCGGCAGAACTTTCTCTCGAACGAGAATTATACCGGTGCCTTTCGTCCACGTATCCCCACGTAACTTTCAAACCGTCGCAAATCACTTCGACTTCTTCCGCGACTTATTTCCTTTGCAATCTAGACACGAGGCGGGGTCAGAGTGGGACCCCTTCGAAAACAGGAGGGCACACCTCTCCTGGTACGAACTTCCCAAACATACAAAGTTCGGGCATCGATTAATCTCCTCCCTAATTTTTAAGTCGAAACAATGTTTCTCACTAGTTTCAAGTTATCTGGGTTCCAAACAATTGTTACGAATTTATTGGCTTACTTCCAACATAAAAGTTCTAAATATAGTCTAAATATAGTCTAACAATTTTAGATTATAAATTGCAATTTTCTGAAGGGAGTAAGTACGATTTTTAATTTAAATGGATGCGAACACTGATACAATTAAACGTAAAGAACGACGTGTCTAAGGAGAAGTTACCTTATCGGTTTATTTTGTCGAATCAAGTGAGAAATGAATTTTCAGTAAATATGAAAAAAAAAAGAACAGCCGCGAAGGAAGAGCAATCATGATAGAGGAAGGAGTCGCAGAGAAGTGGAAGGCGAAAGAGAAGAAGACAGGCTGGTCGCTGACCCGCTCGGAACGTTGACTCCATGTAGTCAGTCCCCTCTTTATATTTTCTTCCATCCTACTTGCACCATCTTACCGTACCTTTGATTACAGCCACCGGTTACCTTACCTTACTTTACCTTGCGTTACTTTACCACGTCCGCCTTTCTTTACCCGCGACCGCGACCATTATACTTCTAGACTTAGCATCTCCGAGACGTCTGTTGCTCTCTCCCCTCTATCCGCATTCTCTTCGTCTCTTTTCCTTACAGTGTCCAATGGACAAATGTGATTTCTCCGGTTGCAAGACTCTTTTTTTTTTCTCACCTCTTCCAGTAACACGTATATTTACAGCCTAACGCTGAACCGCGTCTTATCGCGTTTGATAGGTGTCTCTAGTTTCGAATCTCAGTTCAAAGAAATCGTACGAATCGCCTGGATTTTAACAATTTGTTTCTTTTCGATCCGATCATATGCTTTCTTCTATATTAATATTCTTGTTTTTTTTTTTATAAATGTTCTGTTCACTGGACTGCTGAGAAGGAAAGAAAAGGAAGGAAGCCCTCAAAGAGCTGCAGACTGTATTTTTCGTCGAAGTAAATCCACACAATCCTTCCAGTGTTTTTATCCGTCGTTTTACCGTTTGTTCCTAGATTCTGTAATTTGCCCCCGTCGTATTACGGGATACCCGGGGCTTCTCAGAGATCATTTATCTTTTAAAGGCACGGACGCTCTTTTAGAAAGCTGTATATTTAAAAAGAATTCTTCATAAAATAGCCAGCGCTGTTATAACTACTTTACTTTATTTTACGTTGAGATGAATTTAATCAAGTAGTTTTTCTGTACATAAAGCCACGATTTCGATCTTTCTTGTACGTAGGGGGATAGGTAGTACATCCGTGCAACGATCGAGGTTTCGAGCTACCCAATAATGTGGGTAGCGTCATTAACGATCACGATTCGGCGGATAGGTACAACGCATATCAGGGTCAAGGCAGTACCGTTAGAATCGCTATCGGTTTCTACGTTGTTTTGGAGATTCGAGCCCTAGTTGGTAACGGTGCTCGTTTTGAAGCCGAAAGTAATTTTTGACTGTTGAAAGCCGAATGATGACCGTCTAATCGCGGTTGTCCAAGTTTTTAGCGTCGACGGAGGTCTCGCGAAAACCTACGAGAGTCGTTCCCACTCCTAACCGAACTTTTTCTCCTCCGATGCCACCACCATTGTTGGTCACCACCTCCCAATCCCAGCCCTCCACAAATTACCCGACGGGAACTCGGCTCCTCCCGCCGCGTGACTCAATTATATCCGTCATTACGACCGCCCTCTTGGGCTACATCCAAAGATATTACCATATACGTGCATCAAACGCACTCACATTAATCGTCCATTGACGAATTATCGAAACGAGCGACTGTCATTTGTTCCCTGCTTATCTAGTTGTTTCATTTGTTTTCATTCTGATGTATTTATCATACCCGAGGAAAGCGAGTAATGGTTTCTCTCGTCGACGATACTTTTGACTCGAATGCAGGGTGTCCCAAAAATGTTGTAACACCTTGAAAGGGGTGATTGGGGAGGTGATTTGAAACAACTTTTTCTTTAGCGAAAATGTTGTCCGAGGCTTCGTTAAAGAGATATTAAGAAAAAACCCCGACCAATCAGAGCGCGCGTATACCGTTGGAGCGCCCGCGGTAGCGTATGAGCGCAGCCGCCTAACGCGTAGCCTACGCTCAACCGGCATACTCGCGCTCTGATTGGTCGGGGTTTTCGCTTAATATCTCCTTAACGAAACCTCGGATAACATTTTCGCTAAGGAAAAAGTTGTTTGAAATTCCCTCCTGAACCACCCCTTGCAAGCTGTTACAACATTTTTGGAACACCCTGTATAACCTCTATTTCGGACCCTCTTCGCAACCGAGGATATCCCTCCAAGTATCTGCAAGCTTTCAGAAGAAAATAAGAAATGTATTATGCAATAGAATGCTCGTAATATTTCAATCTTATTGCAAATACGTATTAAAAGGTTTTCTTGTCGTCGATAATAAGTTTCGCGAGGTTTTGTCGTAGCATAAAACATGACGTAAAAGCGAATTCTTAGTTTATATTTAAAAATATGAAATCATTGAAGTCTGATTAAAGTTTCACTATACCATATTCTGAATTTTTGTATAACATATTATTAAAATTTCGAAACATTTGGCTAAATACATTTTGAGATATACACAATCGTATAGCAAAATTTCAAGTGATTATTTACTAGAGTATATAGAAAAATTTCGTTCAAGGTACTATAACATTGTCAACCTTCGTCTCTTATTATAATTTTGTCAAAATAATGCTTTTACACTCGAATCTTTAATTTATAATTACCAAACTGCGGCAAACCGGCAATATCCGCTACAATTATTTTCTTCAAAGTAGAGGACGCCACCCTACAGCGTGAATATCTTCATGGCGGGAAAATCTGCTAATCTTGAAAGACTCCAATCCAAATTAGTATAAAATATATAAAATGAATGTAGAAAAACTTAATTAACTTAAACACTTATTTATATTGATTTACCAATCAACGGAGTTTAACAACTGTAGATTTTTCTTGTATCATTTTTTAACCTCTTCAGAGACAAAAATTATTTCGTGGAATGTAAAAAATAAACTAAAATTTCAACTAAGAGTTATGAGAATGATTAATAATCACTGTTCACTCTCCATATCCTAAAAGCCAATTTCAACATTTTTATTTGTGTTTATATACATAAATGTTATTTCCATAATTCGATGGAGGAAAATGCGTATAAAACACTTCAGCCATAAGTTGATAATGCTCCAAAAAGTGTTCTATCTTTAAGGAAATGTTATCAAATATTACCACATGGCTAGGTGTTACAGCATTTTTGTTCGTATTGTAGTTAAGATTAAGCCAATACATTGGGTCAGCAAAAAATACATCTGCTTCATCTATATAATTTATAGAATTGTTTAAATTAGGTTCGCAAGTCAATATTTTTATGGGTACATTTACATGTAAATGGCTGTACAAAGGTGTTGAATGACAAGGAGTTAGGAATAATATGTTAGTTGTATTGTCAGCATTGACAGCTTCCTTATGAAGGACCTTCATTACATCTAAAGATCCACGCTGATGTACCATACAAAAGTAGAAACCAGGAATAATATTACTAACTATTAATAATAGTATAAAAATTTGTCTTGCCTCTTTTACAAATTTTACATGTAAACTGAATGTACAGGAAGTACATATATATATTAACATTGGTAATAGAGGCAATAAAAATCTAAACTCTTTATGAGATAATAAAGAGTAAATGCAAAGTGTCCATCCAATGACAATTAACATAATTGCTTGACGATGAAAACAAACAGGGTGTTTGATTATTTGCCAAATACATAATAAAAAGACAATGTAATATAACCCCAAAAGTACTGGTAATCCACAAAAAATATACCACAATAAATGGTGTGTTCCATATGTATCTCCAATTTTGTTAAGTACATTAACATGGAAAAACTCCCAAGGTGAAATAACTAATGTTCCATAACAGTAAGTATCTACTAATATCGAACTTAAACAACAAACTATGCATATGACACTATACCGGCATATTAAAGTTAACTTATCTTGCAAACTTGTGCATAAATGATAAATACATAATGGCAACCATATAATAGCAGCAGTAGGCCTTATCATACATAGAAACCCTACAATCCATAGGAAGTTTATACTTTTAATATTACTGTCACGCCATGGAAATATCGATAAAGCTATCATAGTACAGGCAGTTTCTACAGTATTTACTAATGTACGTGTGGCACAATAATACCAGTACCAATTCAAGCATAAACTGTACAATGTCCATTTGTTTTTTGTCCACTCGTAAAATTTGTACTCTCCATAAGCACTGATAATAGCTTGAAGCATCCGTGGTAATACTGTTAAAATCAGTACGTTATCCAAAGATATCAATGCCAATATCTGATAGATGATAGATATCAAGAATGGATAGATGTAATTGCGAATTTTTGCGATCCATTCCCACGTGAGATATCCATATCCAAATGCTAATCGATGAGCCACTTCTAAAGATTGCCAATACTCATCCGGTACATGGGCAGTTTGTACAAAAAACACAGAAACTAATCTCCATACTATTAAGATTGATAACATTTTACTGCTCTTAGACAAATGCATTTTTTTTATCTAGTAATACGATAAAGTAACACACTAAATATTAGTGCACTCTTAAAGAATGACGGAAACGCATTCGTTATCAAAGAATTCGACAAAATAATCGCAATACATAACAAAAATTTCAGGCCTGATAACCTTTCGATAATAACTTTTCATTTCACTAGAAATTACTACTTTATATTCATTTGTTACTTCATAAGAATTCAATTGATTCTTATTAGCAGTTTACGAAAAACCACTGTCGATTACACGTAGCAATGTACGCAGACAATTTGAAAATATTTAGAAATGAACCTAACCTAATTGACAATACTGTAATAGTTTCAAATAGATAATTTCATATTTAAATAATGTTGTAAAGTCGTTTCTAACTTTTATAGGATCGTTTTATGTGTTATTTTTGGTTATATTCAAAGAATAAGAATAACATATAGAATAGTTTCGAGTAATCGATACAGATGGAGCTCTGGTCGTTTCGTGGGATCGATTAGTTGAGAACTCTACGTAGCGATATTTCTTTGAACAAGAGACTAAAGTCGATAGCATCGTTACGAGTAGTGGTCGATAACCGATTGTGCATCGTTCTTTTCGAAACGAGAAATTGAAGTTCGATATCTGTAAAATAATTCGTCAAACGCTGCTTTGAGATATCGGATTCACCGCGGCAAATTTGTTATTCCTTCGTAACCGCGATCCGTATACGAATTCGTTAAAAGCAGTATGCATCGTTTTAAACAGTTGCATTTTAAATTATGCAACAAAAATCCTCCATTTTGATGAGAAACAAACGCTATGAGATAGTAGAAATACGAGAAATACTGTATATGCGCGTTTTAGTACTTAGAAAATAAGACGTGCCGGCACTCGACGAATTTTGATTTACAATTATGGAAAGTAAATCGATAACATTGCCTAACAACGGAAAGTCTGCTGGAGCAGATGACTCCAAAAGCGAGATGCAAATGGTACTTGCTAAAATGATGGAAGAAAAACATACTTATACCTACAAGAAGTTAGTGGTACCCATGTCGATGAGAAGTATTTATTGGAAATTTTTTGGATTTCCAGCCACAGACGACGGAGATATTCTCACTAAAGTAAAGATCGTTTGCATCTTATGCAAAACTCAAATTGCATACAATCGTAACACTAGTAATTTACGTATGCACTTGCAAAATAAACATGCTCAAGAACTTTTAGAACTGGAAGCTACCAATCCCCCACGTAGACAGGTTCTTTCTCAGGAAACAAAAGAGAGGAGAGCACAAAAGAGATTATTAAAAGCAGGTTTAACCTCTGCGCAACATATTTATACTACCAATGCTGACGGTACTGTACAAATAGATGGGGACATTCAGTTTGTGACTGACCCGAATATAAATTTATCCAACATTGAGGATGATATTACGCTTGGTCAACCATTAAGAGTTATGATCAAAAGTAGTTCCAATGGAAGCAATAGTCAAAATGTGGCCTTTCTTATGCCAGAAGATAATTCTATTAATCAATCTAGTATCGATGGAAAAACTGTATCAGATGCTATAGCTGAATTTATTATAATGGACCTACAGCTACCAGAAGTAGTAGAAGGTCGGGGCTTTCAAAGGCTAGTTGCAACTTTGCGCTCACCTTGCGAAATTCCTAGTAAAAATAAATTAGAAGAAGAGATAATACCAAAGATTTATGAAACCTTTCGCGAATCTGTAGCAACAAATTTGTCTTGTATTACCAGTGAAGTAGGTTTAACTGTCGAAGAGTGGAGATCAAATTCTGATGAACGTTTTGTTACTATCTCTGTGTACTATCAAAATTCTGGTGAACCAGTTTTAGAATGTAAAGTATTAAGTACAATTCATGCACCTTTGGATTGGGAGGAATCTCAGTGGGGCAATACGATAGATTCTTTATTAGTCGATTGGGACTTGAAAATGGAAAGGATAACTGCAGTAGTGGTAGCTACATCTAGGACAGAATTACTGGCTGCTTTGACAAATCGAGGATTAACGTTAGTTCCTTGCCTACTTTATACATTGCAAGTGTGCGCTCAAGCATGTTTTGAGAATCCAGAAGTTAGTACTATATTATCTAAATGTAGAGCAGCTATTGGAGCTATTATAAGCCATCCAGCTGCATCTGCAGCTTTAGCTATGCAAGAACAATTATTAGAGGTAAAACTAAAACTTTTCACTGTTAATTAAATGATATTCATTTCCTGTATCGTTTTTAAATGTATTTGCTATTATCACAGCTAGATGAGAACACTATGCTGATAGATTATCCTCCTGTATGGACATCAACGTACAACATGCTTGAACAAATGGTTCTACGTCGTAATATCGTAACATCGATCTTAGAAAGTATGGAAGGCGTCGATCAAGAAGTAGTTGATCTAACAAATGATCAATGGAAGATTGTAGAGGATCTTGTAAATGTTCTTGAACCATTTAAAGTTACAATTATGACGCTTAGCGAAGAGAAAATGCCTCTAATATCCTTGTTGAAACCATTACTTTGGCAACTGGTTTCTTCTCATCTTAAAATAAAAGAAGCTGATAGTGATACTGCAAGGTCTTTTAAAGAATCTTTATCTGATATGCTTTGTGATAGATATGCAGATTATAATGTTACTCTTTTACTTCAAATTGCAACTACTTTAGATCCAAGGTAATTATAAATTACAACATGTTCATTTGGAATAATTTGTATCATAAATTGGTTTATGAATGTACATGTAACAAAAACACTATGTTTTGCATTAGATTTAAGCAGCTACCATATGCTACAGAAGAAGATAAAAACATAGTTGCAACCCCTATAAAAGAAATGTTGACAAAACTAATACAGGAGGAATCTGGAGATAGTATAAATATTAAAGTTGAAGAAGATCCTCCAAATAAAAAAAGTCGATTGTCAGGTGTGTATAAATATTACTATAAATATCAGAGCAGACATATTATATTACTTATGTCCAATAATTATATGTACAGGGATGGAACTTTTACTTGGAGGTTTATGTTCAACAAAAAGTAGAATGCCTGCAGAAGAGAAAGCTGATCTAGAACTTGTACAATATCATTCAGAATCCACTGCGCCACTTGATTACTGTCCTCTTCAATGGTGGGCTAAAATTTCTGCAAAGTGTCCAAATCTAGGGAAACTAGCTTGCAGATATAATTGCGTACCTGCGTGTTGTGCACCACCTGCTAGAATCCCAGCAGAAGTACAAGTTTTATACGATACAAGGCGTGCTGCCTTACCTCCTCATTTAATAGATAAATTACTCTTTCTTCATGGGAATCATACTGTTTGAGAAGAAAATTAAATTCTGCTGAAGTTATTTGAAGGTACTACTTTTTACTACACGAAACAATCTCAAAAATGTCGATAGTTTTTAAATGATTTACATTATACGACACATTTTTCATAAGAATAATCTAATAATGGAACTTCAAAAAAGCATAAATTGCACTTTTTAAATGTTTTGAGAAAAAGTATATCTACAAGAATTTTACGAGAACGTAGATATCGCAAAAATGCGTTTGCTTTCAACAAAATATTAACATAAATTTTATATTTCAAAAATATAAGAAAAGAGTATTTAAAGTTCTAAGAGTATCCGAAGAGCTGTGCAATATTATAAAATTCGTACTATTTCTCTATTTAATTAAGTCTGCAGTAATATAACATCATTAGTCTTAAAAAAATCTTTGATATCAAAGTTGTACAGATATTTAAAAGGAAAGCAGAAGGTATAGTAATATTTGGGAAAATAAAAGGATGCTCTTTATAGAAAGTAATAAAAGAAATAGTTTTCCATTTTCAACATATATAGGATATACAAACACATAAGAACATTTAAAACCTCAATTTTTTCATTTGATCTTTGCATTATTTGCAAATAAATCTTGTTAATCATAACTTGGTTAAATTTCAAATATAATTCGACACATAATTTACAATAGATTGTTTGACATAATGAACTATTAACCTGCCTGTATACTTAAAAGAGAAAAAAGTTAAGTTACCGACACTTCGAATATCATATTTGTTTATGATAAATTTGTTTAACAATTGTTCCCAAATAAGTGATAATCACAAGAATAAGTGTGGTTAAGAAATTAAACTATAAAATTAATAGATTATTTCCAATTTCTATTTTTGCATTAATGCACTTTAAAGCGTGTATTCTTGTGATACTAACTTACATTTTAAAATACTAAGTAGTACAAACCCAGCATTTTATATCATGAATGGTAGAGATTATATCATAAATAATGGCTGTTTTCCAATAGGTATATTTTTCCTATTTATTTGTCTCATGATTTATAATTTAATGCTTGAATGTAATGTAATGTAAATAATGAGTTACGTATGTTTCATATTAATTTAAATATGACACCCATGTTTATAAAAATTGTACAAAGTTTTACACTTTATTTTTGTAAGATATCAACACAGTTGTAAAAAATAATTTAAAATAATAATTTTTATACTGTACATAAACATGAATTATTCTCAAAACATATTCATTTAATGTTATTGTATATTACAAACTGTATTTATTTGAACATAATTGTTTAAAAAAAAAAATTAGATTGCAATACTTATTTTGTTAACATCTAATTATAGGTATTAATTTTCCTTAAATTTTCTACATTGAATGTAGTTATATATAATTGTCACAAAGTAAAAAACGTTATAAAAAGTTTCATTATCTTATATTTCTATCACTTGTACTTTAATTTATTATTCTTACGTTGCTATGAATATTACATTAATTATAAAAGTCAATCATGTAAGACTGAACTGATTCTGCATCCATGTAGAACTTTCATAGAATCTTGGATCTGCGATTCTAAGAGATGCTCTCTTATAGAAATAGTAATACAAAACTGCAACTTTAACATAATTGAATATAAGAAAAGCTTAATGATGTGATATACGTATCATTTCTATAGCTCTATTACCTCCTCTGTGCAACGAGTAAAGCATATGAAAATCTGTAGTCCAATAATATTTGAATGATGATGACCAATTCATTTTAATATGCCATGTGTGAAGACTAATGCTTAATATCATATATATAATACACAAAATTAATGTGATACGAAATTTTGTGTATAATAATTGTATTAGTCCAACCTGCATGGGAAATGTATACAATTGGCATATGATGTTAGATAAATAATTATGTTTCGCAATGATGTGAAAATTAAATATCAGATTGGTATTGCTACTGTTTAAACAATTACCTGAAAAATGTAGGTGGAAAAAAAATTCACTAGGAGAACTGTGAGGGTCATAACAAGACATAGGTCTTGAATCCTTAAAAATAGCAATTAAAATGACATTGAAATATAAACAGAGTTTAACAAATACAGATGAAAAGAACATTACGTACACATAAAGGATCAATAAATTAGTCGGATTCTGTCGAGAAAAACCAGCAAACGAATTAACGAAAACGTCAAAAAGTAATATTAAATACTGCACGATTACAGTAATTAAATATTTCTTTGTATTTAATGTATTCATTTATCACAAGAAGAAAAATCTAACTAATAGATTCACAATTTCGTAGTTTTATTACTGTATTGTATCCCAAATAGTAACGCCAAATATATTGTAAACAATTATAATTTAAAAATGGCGACTAGTGGCGCGTCATTATGCCTGAAATGTTTATAGTGGTGTTCACAGAGACATATATGTACAGTATTACATACATGTTCACAGATGCGTTCTAATTTGCATTCAACCATAAACCATATAATTTGGAATAGAGCGACAGCTCGTCGACAGGCACGAGCCCATTGTCACAAATTCCCTGCTGTATAATTTTTTTTACGTTTCTCCTCTCATCTCGAGACCAGTGTCCACCACTGTGGATATTAGTATTTTAACTATATAGATGGCGTTACTCAATTACTCAAATACTAATTACTCAAATACCAGCGTATACTGGCATATACAGATTGTGGTTTACATTTTGAGCTTATGAAGTTATTTACAGTGTTGAACATTGTGATATGAACAATATTATTAGATTTTATTCATTGACGTGATATGGCTCCTACAATCCAGACAAATGGCAGTACAGCTGATAGAGATAAACGTACAGTTAGACCAGCAGAAAAAAGGTAAACAATTATTTTAGGTTATACTCTAATGTACATGTAACAATATTGTAATTCCTTATAATCATTTCTATTTTAGATCCGAGTTAATATGTAGAGTTAAATATTGTAACACATTGCCAGATATTCCATTTGATCCTAAGTTTATAACATATCCCTTTGAGTCTACTCGGTAAGTACATGTATTAAAATTTGATTAATTTTTTGAACAGTTTTCTGAATAATATATGACCAAATGGTATTCTCAGGTTTATTCAATATAATCCAACCTCATTGGAACGTAACTATAAATATGAAGTATTGACAGAACACGATTTAGGTGTAGAGATTGATCTTATAAACAAAGATACATATGCTGGGGATGTTAATGCTCAGCTAGATACTGCTGATGAAAAACTCCTTGAGGAAGATGTTCTTACACCACAGGATTCTAAAAGATCAAGACATCATGCCAGAAGTGTATCTTGGCTTAGGCGTACAGAATATATATCCACAGAACAAACTAGATTTCAACCACAAACTGTGGATAAAGTTGAAGCTAAAGTTGGTTATAGCATTAAGAAAAACTTCAAAGTGAGTTTAAACTTTCATTGTTTTAAGTATATTAGTATGTTTATCATAAACAACATTAAATTTGTGTATTTATATTTTTAGGAAGAAACATTATATATGGATCGTGAAAGTCAAATAAAAGCTATTGAAAAAACATTTGAAGATAACAAGATACCAATTGAAAGACATTACAGTAAACCAAATGTGGTGCCAGTAGAAATTTCTCCAGTATTTCCAGATTTCAAGGTACTTTAATGCCATTTTACACCAGCTTTATACATATTACAAATACTTCAATCTTTTGTAACATTGTTTTATTTTAATTTTAGTTATGGAAATATCCGTGCGCGCAAGTCATATTTGATTCAGATCCGGCTCCAACGGGACGTTCCGTGCCAGCTCAAATTGAAGAAATGTCCCAAGCCATGATCAGGTAAGACAATGTTTTGTACGTTTCGCTGTTTTTTTGTTGGAAACATGTAGATACTGTAACAAAATTATTATTTTAGAGGTGTAATGGATGAAAGTGGTGAACAATTCGTCGCGTACTTCTTACCTTTGGAAGAAACATTAGACAAACGCAGGAGAGATTTTAGCGCTGATATTGATTACGCGGATGATGAAGAATATGAATATAAAATGGCTAGAGAATATAATTGGAACGTTAAAAGCAAAGCTTCAAAAGGATACGAAGAAAATTACTTCCTTGTTATGAGACAAGACGGGGTATATTACAACGAACTAGAAACGCGTGTACGCCTTAGTAAACGTCGTCAAAAAGTTGGACAGCAACCAAACAACACAAGATTGATTGTAAGACATCGGCCACTTAATGCTACTGAATTTAAAATGCAAAGATATAGGGAAAAGCAACTGGAACCACCTGGAGAAGAAGATGAAGAAGAAGAGGAGGAGGAGGAGGAGGAAGGAGAGCCTCAGCCAGAAGCTGAGAAAACTGATGAAAGAGAAAGATCTGAAAATGAAGCCGAATCCAAAGCATCGTCTAGGGCATCTTCTCGAGCATCCAGCAGGAAATCCAGGTCTCGTTCGAAATCTGGTTCAAGATCTAAATCCCGATCTCCATCGCCGACGAAATCTAAATCTGGTTCTCATTCGCGATCCGAATCACGATCCCCTTCTAGATCGCACAGCAAATCTAGATCAAGATCCGGTACTCCACAGTCGCGAAACTCTTCTAAATCAAGGTCTCGGTCAAAGTCCGCTTCAAGATCTCGTTCTGGGTCTCCAACCAAATCGCAATCTGGATCTCCATCGAGTTCAAAATCTAGATCAAAGTCGAGATCCCGATCAAGATCGAGATCAGCCAGTGGTAGCGGTAGTGGTTCTGGTAGTGGCAGTGGTGAGAGTGGCTCCGAAAGTGAATAAATAATGAAAAACTTTCCGTTAAAAAGCAATTAATGCTACCGGAAGCAGGTATGTTTTTTTTTTTTTAAAGCTACTAATGAACTGTTCATTTAAAAATTGTTGCATCATTATATGTATATAATGGTTGTCACATGTATATGACATATTACGATGTAATTTAAGAATTGACATTAGTAAAAAGGAAAGTAACGATTTATACGCATTGTTACGAATTACTATCATAGAGTATCTTCAAGGTCAATTCTACACACTTGTACTCGCGACACACTGGTCCTATCATCGGTAAGAGAACAATAACGGTAAAGGTCAATGAAAACTTTTTATTTCCGTAACTCTATTTATCTCCTAAATATAAAACTATTGTACTATATCACAATAAGCTATAATACACTTACGGAAATGATGCAGGTTCTTAATATAAATACTATTTAATAAAAATGTACAACAGATCGATCTCGTTCGCATACGAAACATTTTCATTAAATGCACGTCCCTCGAAGGTGTAAAATTTGTGTCTTCGGTTATTTATGAAATTAAACGTTACGTACCATGATGTGTCTCGTTTGTTCGTTCGTGAGTTCATTCTTCTCGAATAACAGTAGTCGGGGAGATGTATGCATTTGTAATACTGGTTTACGCGAACAGGTTATACGCCTGTTCCATTTTATCTATTGTAACAATTCATTTATTTAAGTACCAGAGACTGCTTGTACTAGAACTTGAAATAAAGGATAGCTCCATGCACCAAACTCGATTTTGTTTTTGCTAATCGCGAATCGACAAATTCGAAAATAGTATTTGGAATATTTTCATTTACTCGGTCGTCGTGATTTGAAATGTAGTTATCCTTTATTTGTGTCGTTTGAGTAAGCGCGCAACTTTATGCATTGTTAAGTTCTGAATTTGGCACATTTTTCTTATCTTTCTTTCGGTAACTCCAATTTTTCTGAATAAAAAGAAAATCTCTAATTATTTTCATCTATAACGAAGCATGACAATCACGCCGTAATGTCGTCGCTAATGATGCTCTATTTACTAGAAAAAGGAATGTTTAATCTATCGCTGTTCCGTTTACGCGTCACGTCTCGAAACGGGAAAAATTGTATGTTAAATTTTTTTTTTTTTTTTTTTTACAAAAATTTACGAGCAGTTGTGATGCTGTTGTTCGTATTTATAAGTTATTTCAACGCGATCCTCTTGTCGTCTCATTGACCTCTTGCATATTCTTCATCCTTGAGCTCTTCGCGACATACCGATCGGATCGTTTACGCGCGTTACGTATACCGATTTAAGTTTTTGTTTATGAACGATCGGATTCGAAAGCCGCGTTGGTGATGCCATTCATCGCAGGTACTTCCGACTTTTTCTCGACGGTGATTTGCCATTTCGCTGTCTTCGAGTCGCTTTCTTCTTGACCTTCGACCATGTTCTTCGCTTTCTTCTCTTGCTCCAAGAGTTGACGATCTCTTCGGTGTTCGGTGTACAGCCAGCTGTTTGTAATTAAACGTTTATAAATACCAGTTTGTCGGATTGGTTTCTTAATTGGTAAAAAAAACTATTAAATCGGTCAAAAATTCCATGATGTGTGTAATTCACTTTGCTCATAGCATATGTATGAGAATAGTGCCGATCTAGGTGGTTGAAGCAACGACGTTGAGAGGCCTATGAACCATTTTGTACCTATACTTCCAACACCAAGGCGACTTTCAAGAAAGGAAGGACTTACAAGAAGGCGAAGACGGCTGGCATGGTCATACAGGCACCGACGATGAAGAACGTCCCCGGAAACGTTTTCATGGTCGCAGCGTAAATGGAACTGTACATTGGCCCGTAAACGAGCGGCATCAGTGATTCGCAGACTCCAAAGAGAGAGTTCACTTTGCCTGTAAAACAGTGGAGAATTATCATCATAGGATTCTTTGCGATTGAAGAATTTCTTTGGCCTCGATGTCTGTTCCGCGTCTCCTTATGTAAGATCGAACAACGGATCTGCGAGGCTGACGCGATCACTCGAAGGTGAAAGAAGGTGGAACGAAAGAAGTACATGAAAAACTATGGTCAGAAGGCTCTTGGATCATTAAATGGACAGGAAAACCTAGTTAATCTTCGTTTAGAGCAAGAGAAAACTGTATGGAAAATTGGAAACGGTGTCGACTCGTTGGAAGATGCAATCAAACGAAATTATTCTATTTATACACATCTCTGAGAAAACGAGCCAAGACGAAGATAATTCCATTGAAAAATACCCTGATTAGGTTGAAGGTTACACTCCATGCTGAACAACGTTGTTTAAATATGTTCTATCAAATCATATTCAGATATTCCATTAATCATATCAAACGAATGTCTGCATAATCAGCAACTATGTTCATGTAACGGAAGCCGTTAGATGCTAAGTAATGACCTTTTTATTGCGTTGTTGCGGTGATAAATAACGTGTTTACATTCACTTACCGAGCTCATCTGTCGAGACGAGTTTAGATACTATCGAGCGCATCGCTATAAAGGATGTCCCATTCACGATTTCAACGATTGCCGCTGAAATCAGTGAAAATGTCGTTAATAAACGCTGTTCTAATCTATGCGTATATTCGTCGGATTCGCGTCGATTTACCTAAATAGATCATCCAGTCGGTGGTCGCGAACGCGTAGACGAATCCAGCCAAAATTTTGCTCATAGAACTCATGATACCCACGATCGCATCATCGATCTTCAAAATGTGACTGAACACGCCTACGGATATCGCGGTACCTGTACAAGGAGAAAACAGATTGTTCACATTTTCAATATTATTCGATTATTAGACATTTTTCGTTTCGTAACAAATTTTTTCACCTAATGGTCGTCTTCAAGGATACGTGAGCGCACGTTTCATTTATCGTAAGTTCTATTAGCGAATCAACGACTTTGTCCATTGATACGGTTCTGTAATTTGCAGGTGCTTTGGTTTCAATGAAAACGGTGGTCAATTCCGGTTGGCAACAATACTGTTCATTGCATAACCAATTCCCATTGCTTTTATAGTTCGATAGGCAAAAAGGCAATCATTGGACAACGAATCGTGGAAATTTTATGTCTCCCTTGAACTCGTTTAAAAGATTTCAGCAAAAAAAATAGGGGACAAACGATTGAAATTGAAACACGCAAACAGTTCCTTAAAACGTTTAGCTAAAGAAGTAAAAGGAAAAGAACACGTTTGAAGGAATCCATGAAAATGCATTTTGATGCACCGCAATAGATAAACATCGAATGCGATCTTACGTGTGCAAAATGCTATTCGCGCTGTAATCAGTTTCGAGTTTCATTCTCTCACGTATTTTCCATAATGCTACATAATAATTTCATTTCTGTATAAAAAGAAGACGAGTAATTCTGGCGTTGACGGAAAATTAAATGTCATCGCGGAAATTGGTCGTGGGAATGATGATATTTAATGACATCTTTGGCTTCGCGTTTTTTCTTAACGTAATTACTGCGATTCCATTACTCGCAAGACACAAATTGTCGACTAATCTTTTTTTATTATTGAAAGATACTTATATTATCAGAGATAAATTGTAGCTTACCGATTAAATTCGTGACCATGGCGAAAGTGGTGAACATGCTGAACATTACTTCGTTCCAATGGTATCTGTACCTCATGTAAAGGTACATCACTGCCATTTCACCTGAAATTTGAATTACCTACGTTAATGCTTTCGAATGGATTGGTCCATTTCGAATCGCTGAAACCTCGAGATGAGATCAGTTCACCATTTTACGCCGTTGTATATGTACTTTATCACTTTGCATTCGAGCAAAAGCTGAAAATTGGAACCGAACTCTCGCGTCACGGTTTTGAAATCGCAGATTCAAGTGCCATGTGGGTGGAACGGTTCCATTTGCACAGCGTGAAAGATCATGGTCAAAACGTTTTTCAGAATTGCTGTTCGCGTCCAGCGTCTGCAATGTTGCATCGCCGTTAGCGACGCGGTCCGTAATTGCTTCAAAAATTAAGTTGAAAATGACACGCGGAAGACCACCGTTAACCGTGAGGAAGAATGAAGTTCTAACATCGAGGTTTAGCTCGAATAAATTACTGAAACGACGATAAAGTACCCCAGAAATGTCTCGACGTCGGTTAGTGACATCCTTCCAGTTCCTCCGACAAAATTACAACGCTGTAACCTTAGCAGCACATTCTGCTTTTGAGCAAGAAACATAATCCTCATCTGTTATTTATGATTAACACGAATGAAACATTGATCCGAGCCATTAGAAGTCATCTTCCATTCAAGGTCTTGGGCAGACCTTCGTTTTGCTTATACAATAATGTACCATTCTTTTCGCGACCAATTTTACGCAAACGAAAGTCTCGTCGAATCACGTTGGTTATGGTATATTACATATAATTATAATCTCGAGGACAATGGACGATAATTGCAGGTGACTCGTCTTGATATTCAGAAAACTACTAGTCAGTTTTTTAAATCGAACGTTCAAAAAAGATGATTTCAATTTTCTTGAGCGTTATTTAAGACTATCGTGAAAAACAACTGGGATTCCCGTTTTGCATGGAAACAAGCGATTCCGTTGGGATCATAAGGGTTCCGTTGTCCTTTAAGAATATTTTTATTACCATAAGATTTTCACAGATAACGAGAATCCGTGATACGTACTTATCCCGAATAAATTCGACGCGTTATTACCTGACATTACATAAGAATGCACACAGCGTTATACAACAAGTTCGTTCATCAGGGCCTCCATTTAATCGTTTCCGTCGAGTTTGGGTCATTATCACATCATTGTCTTGTTTTCTTTATGACTATTCTAAGAAGAATTCGATATCTTCGTACGTTACTCGAAATTCGAAGTATACGTAAAATAAATGTCTCTCGTATGGAATACTATTTAAATAGTTGGAAATACTACGTAACATAATTCCATCGTCGCATCGATTGATGGACGATTTCTTCATATATAACATTGTATACTAATCATTTGGATTCGTTACGCCAATCAGAAGGTCCTTCGAGTGTGTTAGTTAACACTTACTCCCGATGGTAATTAAGTAAATCTCAAAGAATAATGTATTGCAATCTTGCATTCAATCGCTAGAATTAGAGAAAAATTATCGTCGAGATAACTACCGATCATCGTTGAAGTACAATTGATTTAATTTTCACCTTGAATCATGTAAAAAATTGTGTAGATTTTTCGAGAAATGATTCAGTCTGCATCTACGATACACGTAGATGCAGATCTACGCTTGTCTGTACGTAAAAGTAACGGCCCCGATGTGCCACGGCACGAACCCTTCGAACCACCAAGACTAGACTTATTTCCGACGGTCAAAGATCTGAAATTACATCAGAGTACTTAAGTAATCAGACGGTATTAGCATACGTACGCACAGAATGTAGTTCTAATAGGTATGTTGACTTCGCACATACACTACCGGTCATAAGTTTGAAGCCATCAGCTTCATTGTCACTGTTTCGAACGCTTCTGCCGGTTGCTACCGTAACGAGTACATTTCGTTCACTTGGAATAATATCTAAACTTCTTCCAGTAAATCGAATATAATGTAATACTAGCAGGGATTTGTTCAGTAGGGCAGGGATTCATGTTACAACGGCAATCATATTTCCACGTGTATCAATTGTCGCTCAAGTTTTTCAACTAATCGTCCTTGTCGTAATGGTAATTAATACCGAGGTCCAGCAACTTTCGCCGATTAATAACATTACCACGCGACACGGTAGACAATGCGAGAACAAATGTCGAAAGAGAGTCCTTAACTTGATCGAATTAACGGCGACGCTTGATTTAATTAGCGTACGCCAATTGCATGGTCCAATTACACAATGTTTCAGACGATTGGTATTAACATCCTTCGGTCACGTACTGACCGTATTGATAGATTAACTAGCTTGCCGTGTTCGAACACCGTTGCTTTATCGAATCAACGATGAAACTTCGTTAATCGTACTGTTCTGCATGTCGTAACAAATTCAAACGTTTAAAAGATACCGTATCCGAAGACTTTAGAGCTGTAGGGAGAATTGCAGGCGCGACCCAGAACCTTATTTTAGCAGAAGTTTTCCATTCGATATCACGGAGCGTAGAAATCTGTTAAGAAACAGAAATCTTACGAATATGCACGGATATCTAATTGTTGAGCATTGAAAATCAGGAAGAAGTCCATTATACGAAATTATTACAAGCAGGATGATTACTCATGCCGTTTTGCAGCTCGGATGAGACGACCAAAGACGTAACAAAACATAATAATGTCGAACACATTAGCAACCTAATTAAATTATGACGAGACCGGTCGCCTTGAATTCTCTGTTGCAATACGAATTCGTGATGTACCATTAATCCGTAATTGACGATGCAAAGAGGCACCGTATTGTCATTCAAGACTAGCAACCCGGTGTTTTGAGAGAATGAGGACACTAAAAGTTCTAGCTCGGTCACTATTTGCATCTATAAAAAACGAAACACTTGAGAGGAAGTTAGCGTTGAAATGTTACAATGCTTTCTTTGTCGCTTTCGAAGACGGAATCATTGATCTCACTTTCACTAAGTCTCTCTTTAGCGTTGCAACTTTGATTACGTACACCTCTATGAATCGGATAAACCAGTTCCTAGGAACACGATATCGTCTCGCTACATTCATAGAGTTGCGTTTTCCAAATTCCCGATCGAAAATCACAGCTCGTGATAGTACGTTCAGTTGTTTGTAGCCATGGTTTCGCAACTAATTATAAACCATTTCCATATGCACTGTACCAGTTTTCCCACTTTCCCTCGATTCACTTGCCGCGACCAAATTATTGCAATTACCTATGGAAACGTGCACGGCTATTGCGATAGAAGTAGGCAAGATTAATGATAGTTACGTGAAACTCTTTCCACTTTCATTCGATCGTTCAGCGCATACAGGGTAAAGCATGCAATTGGTAGCACTTCGATAGCTTCGGAAATAACAACATCAGTAAAACATCCGAACATCAGTTGATTCGGATGAAGAGGCTGTATGTAAAATGAAGATAAGAGTTCTAATTACAACATAGTAAAACACCCCTCGTTTTGAATCAGAGTTTATTCGAGTTGCTGCAGGACAGATGGGAAAGAGACAGATCGTTTTAACAAGTTTCTCCTGTTTAGACGTCGACTCGATAATCATGAAAGTCGACAAAAGCAAGAGCAGTTCGTAGATTGCAGAAAAAGCAGCATTCGAAGACGAATGAAAGACCGAGTTATCGTTTGACCGCGTTTAGGCGATCCATTACAACGTAGAGCAAAGAAATTACACCCGATGAGCACGGTCATTGAAAACGATTCGCACGCGTGCTCAATCCAGGCAAAGTGTAAACATAGAGAAGTACGCGTGCGACTTGCAACGAAAGAGAAATCGAACGGTACAGGTTGGCGGGAAAAATTCGCGACAAGTTAAACGTGTTTACGTTTCGTTACTTTAATCAATGGGGCACTAGGCCACGTTATACGAATTCAATTTGTTTGACAATGAAGTTCTTACAAGGATGAGTAACGGCGAAGCCTCGCGTACTCGTAACTCGAAAAATTAAACAACGATGCAACTCACCGTAAAGAGGGCCGATTACAACCATCACGACGACCATGAGGACCACGACCCTCTTCTGCCTATTGTTCGTACCCTGTTTGAAAGCCACGCGGAAGGTCTCCTCGATATGCTTGAACGCGAAGAAGTCCAAGATAGAGTCGCAAACCGACATTTTCTTCTCGTCGGCCTTCTTCGCTTGTTTGAGATGCGACCTGGGTGGTTCCTTGATCACGACCAGCCCGTAAATAAAGCTCAGCACGTAACACACGGTCGATATGCCGAAAACACCATAGAAGCCCAGCTTCAAGTACAATATCCCGGACAACGCCATTCCGATTGGCACACCGAGGGACAGGAAAACGTTGGCGGCACCGATTCGAAGTGTCCTCGACTCTACGGATGTGATATCGGCGATATAACTGAAAACACCCATGAACATGGTGAACCAGCCGCCAGCTAACGACGGCCATAGAGCCTCGAACACCCCGGTAACTTCCATGGGCACCTCGTAGAAGAAATAAGTGCAGAGGAGCATGCTGACACTGCTGAGGAACTCGCCAACGATCGGCAGAAGCATGCAGGGCTTCCTCAAGCCTGTGCGGTCGCTCCAAGCTCCCATAAACAGGATCAGCATCGTTGGCAGACAGCTGGTCAAGGCGGTCTTCCACGTTTGCATGCCGGCGACCAGTTGCTGAACAGCCGTCTCCTCCGCCTCGAAGCCCGTGGTGTTCCTGTTCGCTAACGCTGTGCACACCTCGTCGGAGTAAGCTAGATTCACCCTACAGGCCTTCTCGAGGCTAAGATTCTGCGTGGCCAGGGAAGCCAGCATGCACGGTATCACGTAACAAGCGATCATAGGCTCGACGGTGATGTTGCTGGTGAAGAAAGACCATTTCTGACGCATCGTCATGGACTTCCAGGCGACGGTTTGGCCGGACGTTGTGACAGAGTCCCCTCGTTTCTTCTCTATGGTGGTTCCAGCCACCGGATTATTGGGGGTAGGGTCCGTCATCTCTTTCGATAGAAAAAGACTAACTATTGAATTTAAGTATTTACGAGAATCTACACTACGTCGGCGTTTGGTTGCTTTCGGTCGTCTTTCAGTAGGAGCAACGTCGGCTGGCGTTTCCAAGCGTGTCCACAGTTCAGAGTCATGCGAGCTGGTTTCAAGAGGGTTTTCGAAGTCTGGAGACAGTCGTAGTTGATGGTCGTTGATGAAATGTTGATTTTTGAAGCGTTCTCCAAAGATTCAATGTTCGGACAGCACTTCTCGATCGGTCCTCGATGCTCGAATCATGAGAGCTGTTGGAAATCTTGCTTCTTCCTTATCTGGATCCTCCCTCTGGAACAGCTTCAGGTGTTAGATTGTTTGAGGTTGTTCCTTTTCCACGGTATACACCGCTTCGTTAGATTTCACAGCCGGTCCGCGGGAGAGACCGTCTGGCCGTCTACTCCTGGCTAATGCACCATTGTACATTGCGATACGCGTGTCACCTCCTTCCCTTCTTCTTCCTCTCGACCACCTCCTGCACTGGCTCTTCCTCCACTACCTCCTGTTCTCTTCTTCCATCCCCTCTAATCTCTTGGCCCTCTCCACGTGTGATGAGGTACCCTCGGGTACGTCCACCTAGTCCTCTAAATACGCGTTGCTCGTCGAAACGTCGACGGTACAAATTATTTCTGCGACGATGTCCAACCACGCGTTGTCAGCTCCGCGACGCTTCCGATTCCGCTCTCGGGGGCTTTTCGGGTCAAGGTTAAGCCTTCGCACCTCCGAAGCTTAGCAAAGATACGTCGGCCTCTGACTCGATCCTCCTTGATCTTCTTTTCAGAGACCATTTGAAAGATCCCTCGGTTCTACGTACTAACGTAGGTTCGTACTCTTGGATGGTTCATTACGCTACAAAATTACAGACTTCCCTTATTTTATTTGCATCTCATAAACATGCTTATACTTTCGCAACGTACGTTGTACATTTTTCACCTGTGTAAATACCCCTACTTCAACGGTACGCGCTATCATTTTACTTGTACGTAATACATTGTTTGTTTATTTGCTTTTAAAGAAAAACTACGTAACTGAATCATACATCCAACGTTTTATTTCAATCGAAGAAATATGGGTCAAGATTAAAACTATCCATTATACTTTCTTTTTTCTTATCTTCTTATTTCGATACGTCGTTACCTTGAAAGTGACAGGTAAACGTTTATCTAAAGTAATTTCCATGCCACTTCGAATTTTCGAACGTGTTAATTTCTTCGACACGGTGTGCCGAGAAAATGTCTCGCAAACTTGTGATTCCACTTTATTCGTATGATTGATGCGCAAACGTATGGAAGAACAAGAACTTCTGCATTCTTCTCGATATCAAGGAAGACATGTAAATAGAGAACACCGTTGAAATCGTCATCTCTGGTAGGCCATAGTCGAGGTGCCGTTAAATGTGGCAATTTGTTGATAAAATAATCACAACGGCTGTCTTATCTTCTCCGGCTGGAGCCTATTTCAAGCAGGGCCGTCTCCCTCCGAGCACCACCACCTAGAACGATAAATCAAAGATTATATTAAGTATACCAACGACAACGATTTGCTCACCGGACCTTTCTGGCCCCGTAATGACGTTAGCTGGGCGGCCAATTGTGACGAATTGGCAATTACGTTACTTCGTTCGTACGTGCTTCGTGGGCTCAAGATTTTTCTAGACCTTCGAGCGGCCCGGTTACGTAGAAATTCGGTCAACGGTCTTGACTGTCGAGTTTATCGTTGAACGTTCATGAATTTGCACTGTCATCGAAGGAGAAAACTCGACGTGATCGAAACATCGAACCGGGAGTAAACAGATAAATTCGACGCTTTTGAAAGAAATTGCTGAAATCCTAGAACAAGTAACTGGATTCGATGTTCGAGATACGGCCCTGGCACTTAAGTTGACCGTATGACGTCTTCAAGTGAGTAATGCTCGCAATTCGAGTGATACTATAAAAGTATTCGATCCAGAGCCATGATAGACCCGTTGTTTTGATGTTTCACCGACATATCCGCTGTCAACGCCTGCTCCAACTCGGAACAAGCCGTTTCAAGGGTCGTACGCAACGATATGTTCAAACGCTCGCTACAGCCGCATGTTTCTTCTTTTTTATAAAATATTTATGAACAAAATAAGATTTCACTGAGTAATATTTCCGGTAACCTTCGCGTTACACGCGTCAGTGATATTTAGTTTTTGTCTCTTTTTGTGCGAGATACAGGAAGTAATACATTTTGCGATAAGTCGGAAGGATCACATTGATATCGATGTTCCTCAGGACGAAATACAAGGGACAACAAATTAATTATTTTAGGTAGTCATCAAAGGTCTAAACGTAATAAAAAACATCAATCATGTATTGCACGTACATTACAACGATCGTAAGCATAGTTTTATAGTAGTTAATTAAGTACGAGGACTTCGTAGTTTTTGAAGGACAATTCCTCTCCATCAAAGGGAATGTAGAGACAGCCGTGGCTTTGTTGGACCTGTAAAAGATAATATTTTGATCAAATGGGGGTCTTGGAAAATACCACCTCTATTTAAAACATTTGAATTAGTCTCATGAAATAGTTTAAACTATATACGCCTAGTACGTTCAAAACACACATGAAGCAATTAAAAAGAGTTACTTCTCAAAGACATCCGAACCAAAACGAGATCTTAAACGGAATGATAGGGATAGTCCTCGTAGACGAACTTGAGTGATCAATTACTTTTGTCCCGACTATAATATTCGCAGTAATAACAGCGACCTTTTCTTTGGTGATTATGATCAATATAAATCTAAGTATTAACTATCTCCAACGCAACGTCCTAAGGACTATCTTATATACCCTAATTGCTTCTTTCATGAATAATCGTTGCTTCCCGAGATTCTCGTATGTTCTACGACTCGTTTCACGTGTTAATTATAATTTCAATCCACATGGTTACGAGAAATACAAATAAATATCTTCGCGCGGAATAAAGATAAGCGAATTCCGACCTTGCCAATTGTTTGGGATCCATTATGGAGAACACGGCCGACATACAGAGGCTCTCCATCGGTAGTTTGACCTGCGACTACCGCATTACTTGGAACGTTGCCGTTGGAGCAGAACTCCCATTCAAATTCGCCCAGGCACAGAATCTAATAAAATGTAATCCATTAAAGTTACGTTCGGTTGCACACTTGTATCATAGGCGTTCTCTTTTATAAGAGAGATACATTTTCGTTTGTTTGCAGTTAGTCTTTTTATATGCATATATCGCTCAAGTCTTTTTACTTTTACTGTATTTATTTCTTCCTTTTTTATCAAGTGCTGCAAAAACCAAACTTTGATGCAAATCATACGAAGTGTCCCTATTTCGCGAGGCAAAACGACTTTGCCTTGACACGAAATCTCAATTCCGTGTTTGCGTGCGTCGATAGGCTACTTCGTTCCATCAGGAGATTAAGTTCATTATAGAAAACATTTATTATTTGTTAAAATCATCGAACCGTCCAGCTTGTCCATTATTTCGCCTTGAGTTTAATCGGTTTCCCTGCTATCACTCCGAACGAGAGATACAAGATAGCATCGATATCTGAGTGAAGGATACTAATCTGAGATCGTGTAACCGTGTAACGGGATTCATGCACGTTACACTAAATTCATTAACGTTCATTACGTTTGCATTACGTTCACATTATTCTTTAATGAATGGCTCCTTTCAACGAAACGCGTAAGTTTAAGGCAAGGCACTCACGTCGAATTCATGTTTAGAGTGTTCCACTCCGTTGTGGCATATGTAGGCAACATGTTTACTGGGAATCACTTTCGCCGGAATCATATCACCTTCGTGAAACGCTCTGCCGACGTATATGGTGTCTCCGTCAATGTCTCGTCCTCCAACAACTGCATTTTCAGGCAAACTCCTCTCCGCGGTTCGGTGGACCCATCTGTAACCTTTGGTACAAAAAAATCAACTTTTACAAACAATAGAGAAACTCTATTAAGAAGAAAAATTCTATTTATTTCTACATTTAATAAATAATTATTACATATCATCGATACAATTATCATCATCGTATGGATTATCCGATAAAAGATAGTTAGAAAACTCACATTTAGCTCTAACGACATACTTTTGTCGCTCATACGTCAACAACTATTGAATATTAATATTAATGTAACTATTAATACTGCAGTAAATATTTAATGATGCCATTGAACGTTTCAAATGTTTTCGAACATTAAATACTCCCGATTGATACGAATGGTGATACATATTTTTAACGCTTACCTGGCATCTTGCAACTCGTTTTATCCGATGTTTCACAAAGAATGACGCTTATCTTGTCCCAACATCAAATTATAAGCTGTCCTAATCTTATCGTATATTTTATCTAATATTTGCGTTCTCTTTAAATTATATGACGGAGTACAGCTTTCCGGAAAGTTGGATAAATTGATTAATGATATCATATTTGAAAGTATTTATTTTTATTCAACAAGAGAATGCCCGACTCAAAGAACTTTTTACACGTGGAAGGTTAACAAAATATTTTCATATGTAATTGTACATTCAAATTTATTACTCATTTACGTAATTTACATTGAATATACAGAATTTATATGACGCAAAACTTATCGATAATATATCTCATTTACTAACTTCTTTATGTACAGATATTACTTTATTTAAATAGTAGTAAAAATTTGGTTCATAAATAATACAGAAAAATTAAAATACGTTCCTGCATATCGGGCACGTGGATTTCTGGCTTGTACTAAACCATTTGTACTAAAAGGAAAATGTAACTTTCAGAAAGAGTTTCGATAAAAATTGTAATCGTGAATAGCGCAAACTGACGTACCAGACAGGCTGTGTGAAACTTCTTGCGACACGTATGGCATGACAATTTCGGTATTTGATATGTACTTAAATGGAAAATACTGAAACATATATAACACTCTTCGACGCCAGCGAATTTCTTATCTAAATTTCTTTTCCACAACGCAAGGCCATCCCACACAGATCCATTCTATAGAGTAGAAAGTAGTAATTAAACAGTTTTTTTTTAAAAAACAATATTTAGTATAATTAACTTTTACCTGATGTGTAAGAAATATGGACAACTGCATATGACAGTTTCGCCAATTTGCAGTTCCACCCGCGTGTTGACCAGGTTCAACTGTTACTGGTCCCAAAGGATGATTAGGTGGTAAAGTGATGTTAAGTTCCAATTTTGTGTCATCCATTTGATACAAGGCTACAACTTCACGGAACGTTGGATGAACCTTCACTTGCATGTTTTCAATAGTATGTAGCTTGTTATTCAGAAGCTCTTCCTGGCAAAGCATGGGGCTAACATAATGCGTCGTGATCTTATCTACTGCAGCACTAACTCTACTGTCAGCAGTACTCCACCACTGTCGTACCAATACTGGTAAATGTCTTAAACTATTTGTGTATAACCAACAAACTATATGATCTAACCTCCATTCCGTCCAGCTTTCTATAAAACATTGAGAATAAATGATTTTTGTAAAGAAGTTTTATTTGCAAGAAAAGTAAGCATGAATACCTCCAAAGTCAAGGGATGGTTCGGTAGAAAATAGCTCCATTAATTTTGCACCTTTATTTTTATAATCTTGGAGCACCTCCACCGGCATTAGACGGAATATGTTATTTAACAAACTTGGAAAGAAATTATCTCTGGAACAGTAAACCATAATCAAAAAAGATTGCTTAAAATATCAGGAAAATTAAAAAAATATTACAAAAATGTTTACTTAAGAATTTCGGCATACTGATACAACAGATCTCCATGAGCATTCGCGCACATGTCTAGTATGATAGCCCATGATAGTAAGTATCCCACAGTGTATGTGTAGGAATCTGTATATGGTTGAATGGTACAACTAACTGTATCGCATAATCTATAAAAATAGTATGATAATTAATAATATATGTACTTGCCATTATATGCTATATGAATATTTACTTGAAATCCATTAAAGTAGTGTTCACGATGTTCTGAGAATTTTCTAATACGTCTTCTACTTTTTTAATGTTCAAAGTATTTGCATCAAAGTTTTCTAACTCCACGGTTGCTTTGTCTTGTTCTACGAGAACTGGTACTGCCTGTTTTAATACATGATATGCACCCAGCTGTATACTGGCTACAGGAGATTGAAATAATTTTAGCGACAATTTTACAGTGTCGTTTCGATCAACGGGTATTGAAGGTGCTATCTTCGATTGAGTTTCGAACAGTATACTTCCGTTTAACATTTTCACTGCTTTTCCTAGATAATCTAACACTATGATAGGTTTCAAAACTGTTGTCTTTTTATCGTACGAATCTGTAAAGAATAATTTATAATAAATTATAAAATCAAAATTAATAATTATACATTGGTTTGACGTCTTATTTTTTTAGGATTAATACCTGCATAAACCATCCAGGATTCAATAATTCCATATTGTATATCACCGGCAAAAACATTTTTCCATTCGTCTAACAATGTTCGAGGTAAGTCCGTTATTTCTTCCTGTTCGTGTCGGTTCATTAAATTCTGAAGTGCGAAATAAAGTTGACAAACGGCTACTGTCAGTGTAGATACCTATGATAATAAAAAAAGTGCACTATGTAAATTGAAACTAATAATTCAGTTTACATAATGGGCTAGTATGGATTATAGGTTATATTATACAAACTTTAAAGTCATTAGCATTTTGTTTTGATTTAATAAGAGAAAATTGCCAAAGAACCAAAGATATTAGGATAAAATTCCACTGATCAAACGTTAATTTAGTGGGAACTTTCGTTACAAATTCTGTCAGTAATCTTATAACTTCCAGAGGTAAAGTTAATCCTTCCCAGGAAGTCTGAGAGATATCGCTATCAAAAAAGAAATAAAAATGTTTAGTTTACAATTGGTCTCATAAATTATATATAACTCTATAAAGTAAAATTATGTTACATACCAATCGAAAAGTAATAGCATATTGTTTTCCTTCTTGTAGGATATTAGTTTTTCTAAAATGCTGGAGTAGTTTAAATTGTGTTCTTGGTTTATAAGCGTACTCCTTGCAACGATTAACATGTGAATATTAATGTCATTTATTGTTACCGAAGTATTTTCCGAACTTTGAAGTTTTGATAAAATCTAAACCAAATTATTTTATTATTATATAAACCATTGCAAAATAATGCAATAATATATAACATTAATATTGTATTACCTGTTGCCCTTGAAGGTTCATTTCATTATCTGTGATAGGTATGTTACTATTGTTGTAAATTTTAAACAGTTCTTCTGGTTTTTGGCCAGTACATAATTCAGTGCAACAAAAGAGTATTATGTACGATAACATACTACCATATTTTGAATAATTTCTGAAAAATATTTTCAAAATAAATAATACACGATTAAAGAATGCAAATGAATTATTATTAATGATAAGAAGAAATACTTACATTTTAATATGATTAACAATTTGATTGTATGTATTTTCGTTAATGTGCATTTGTATTTGTTTAAAACTATTTTCAACAGTTATTAAAATTTTGCTAACGTTGCTATAATATTTTGTCTAAAAAGAATTGATCAATAAGTCCTTCATGGAAACTAAATTAATGCTATAAATAATACTTACGGATTTGTAATGATTTGTGTAAATTCTTCCCAAAATAATTGAGTATATAATATTTATTAAAAGATTCGTACTTCCTGGTAAATTCAAATTGTGTATCATCAATTTTTCACTATTAGATTCTTTGTCTTCGTCTTCCTCTTCATCTCTGCTAGTTGATCTTAAGCATAGGTTATTCAGCACATTTATATTAAATAATGCCCATTTTAAACAATTCTCAGTATTATCCATTACCGCGGTACTAGTTAAATCAATGGACATGGAATTTTGATAAATTTGTATCCTCTGATCAAGAGTGGATACATATAGTTTACCACATATTACTTCACCATACAGAATTATTCCAGTTACTTCAGCCATCCATGTAGTTATATTAGAATCTGTTAGGAATGTTAAAATAATTTCTTGTGCATAATCATTATCCATGTGAACTTGGTTATCTATTATAACTTCGAGAAAATCAGCCGCCATGTCCACCAATATATCTTTGGCGTGCTCGTCGTTCCTATAAAATATTACCTGTGTTATCAAGCAGAACATAAATATATTTCGTACATAAAAATTATCTTACGAGTTATATATTTTTTTCCACATAGTAGTTGCAAACTTATTAGTCAACTCAATCAATGCTGGTTGAGATAATTTTTTAATAGCTTCCAGAAGTCCTTTTTTCCATACAACCCGCATTGTTTCAATAAAAGTGAAATCGTTACTAAAGTAATCTCGAGAACACAGTTCAAAAAGTGTTTCTAATACTTGTACAGCTCCCAATATCGATTGTTTATGAGTCCATGTTAATGGAACAATACAAGAAATTAATTTTGCAAAATGTAATAAATACGTTTTATCCACTTCATGAATTGAATTACAAAGTATAGATACAATTTCATTGACGCCATCTTCTGTTATCGACAAATCTAAAAATAATAATACAGCATGATATAGGTGTTATTTTTCGTTGTATTAATAAGCTGTATTGATGTTAAACGTTAAAAACTTACTGCCATCATCAGAAGGTTCAAAGGCTAACAAAATAATATTCTGGTTTTTCTCTAAATCAGAATAATTTCCCGAAGCAATTACCTTTGCTACATCTACTAATAAACTAGTTATTCTAGATTGTGAACACCATTTCTTTACTATTGGATCATTTCTATGTTTTTTTGATAGAGCACATTGTATAACACTTCGTGTTGTAACAATGTCTTGAAACTGAAAATACATCCATAAATATATGAATACAATTTTATAAATTTGTGTAAAAATGTTATATTTCTTACCTGTGTTAGTGACTCTAAAATATTATTTTTCTCATCATCATTCATATGCTTCATGAAATTGAATATTAATTCTACTATATATTCAGTGTCTGGTGAATGATCCAGTAACCAGTTTCGTAAAACATTATTATAGACATTGAAGAAGTTTACTTCTACTTTGAAAGAGTTTGATGGGTTTATAAAAAGTTCTTCGTTTGCAAAACAAGTTATAAGCTTATTTAAACATGTTATATACGTTTTTATGCGCTGTTCAGTGATTTTATTGAAATATTTTATGCAAAGTGAATAGACAAAATTATTAAGTTCAGAAAGAAATACAGTATCGGTATCAGTGTTTGTATCCTGCGGTTGACGATCAACATTGATATCGTCTTCTGGATTTGAAAATTTTACTTTTAAATTTTTACGGCCGTGTACGGGAGCTGTTTTCAATGTAATTAAGAATTTGATTTGAGAATTGCTTGTATATGGAACATTGAATGTTTCCAAATTTTGGGATGTGTCTATAATCGAATCAAACAATAATTTGAGTTCGCGCCAAAATTCTTGTATCAAATAAGAATATGATTTATATTCTTCATTATATCGATTTTTACTCCAATACCGCACCAAGTGGGTAATTTCACAAAAAAGAATTTGTTTCATAGGAGTATCTTCTTTTAAACACATTTCTAGACTTGGCATGAGCTGAAATAATTGATCATTAATTCTAAATATTCTTTCCATGGAGAATGAATATGATATAAAATAAAATACCTGTTCTTTGAGGAGTGTAATGCATAAATCGTGATTATCAACATTCAGAAGAATAGAATAACGTAAACATTCGATAAATGACGTTGTTACCGCAAACATTTCTGAGCGGCTCATTTGAACGCTTTTTACCGAAAATCTAATGAAATATGAAAATAATATGAAAATTATTATAAACTACATATATAAACTATATATAAATTAGTCATACATTACGCTATTTAAATACACACCCTTGTCGCATATTATTAAAAAAGTTCATGTACAAGTTGTAAACATCAACATTTAGTTTTGGAAACTGACTGATGAATGGTAACAAGTTCGGGTAAACAATAGTAGCGCAACACTGTCCTCCACTTCGTAAAACACGCCACAGTTTTGGTAATACTAATTTTTCAATACTTACTACACAATACCAATCCTAAAACAATGATTTTATGTATGACAGTATTAGACTTACCATAGTAAACATTCTGCAAGTAATTATTAATACCTGTATTTTATTTATAGTTACAAGCACAGATTCCCATACAGCAGATAAGAGTGCTGGTTCTGTTTCATCAAGACTATTCATAATAGTTGTTACAGTTCTCTTTTTTTCCTCTTGCAACAGTATAACAGTATTCTCATTCATTGATGTTAACACATTAAAAAATGCTGTTTTAACTGGTAGAGCATCATACTTTACTAACTTCCAAAACTTGCTATTACTTATAATTTTACGGTGGATATCAATCATTTTTTCAATCTCCTGAACAGGAACCTTCTTTAAATAAAAACTATAACCTTGTAAACTTGTTATCAAAACTCTTTGATACTTTGCTTCCATTTCTTCTGCAGTAAGATTCCTAATAATATACATACATCAATATAATACAGTTCCTACAGCAGATGCCTTCTATATCTTTTAAATGAAAAACATACTTTTGCAAAGACAAAGACTGTGCTGTATGAATAGTAATGTTATCACAGATATATGTTAAAATTTCCTGTTGACAATGCACAATGGCATCAATCATTTTCCTTGGTGGAAATGTGTCCTATATGCATATAAAAGATATTCCATTAAACAATTACAAATCAACTTGATTATTTTCATGAGTTTTATGATTAGCATTTTATAATTTACATTGAACGAATTGATAGCAGCTGATGCAGCAGGGGGGTATGTATCATGTTGTGAAGTAAACCAGGCTCCTGCTAATTGTTTTAAATACACTGCTATGCCCTTCCCTACCCGTTTGACAAGGGCTGCATGTGCCAATTGTGCAGCTTCTCTCACTCTATGTTCTACATCTATAGCTAAGGCACAATATTTCCGTGGCCAGAATGGCAACATTCCCTCAACTGCTGATAATTCTGAGTCTCTACACATGACAGCAAATTCTTGTAAGGCCTGAAAGAGCAACATTTGAGTTTTCCTATTGCTTAGACATTTGATACTTATATATTACCTTGTACTTTGTTGTTGCATCTTTTTTATTCATTTTCTTTAACACTATTTGAAAATTATTATCAATGTTACTCATTTCTATCTCATTTATGCTACAAAGTGATAAACCTGGTAATACAGGTATATATCCACCATCTTTCACTGCTGCGAAACCAACAAAATTTGGCATTGCAGAACCTAATAGTTCAGCACTTCGACTGCTACTTGATGGCTAGAATTTACAAGAAATTCACTAATATTAAAGTTACGTTTACTTTATTAATTATTATAGAAAGATAATGGAAAAAATATAGGTATGCAGTACATGTTAAACATAATAAAAATGTTGTAATGTTTTTAAACAATATTTCATTATTTCATTAAGCAGTCAAAGAAGCCAAATTACTACTACTACATTTATCGTTAAAAAGGAAAAGTAAATATAATGTCAGAATACGAAGTTTTCATAACAACAAAATTTAACCTATGATTTCTTTATTATTGATAGACTTTCGCTTACCCTTGCATTATTTTTTGTTCGTTGGGCTTGTTTCTTCTTCCCCATGATAATTACTGCAAAAACAACAGGAAATAGATCTTGTAATTGTACATTAATTTTATTAGTTCAATTTTATGCCAGGAACACGTTTGTAACAGGTAACAGCTGATTTCTCAATGTTTTCGTGTGATATGTACGCCAATGTACGCTATCTAATCGTGATATATTTTTTGAAATTTAATGAAAAATTGAAATAAACTACTATTTAATTTGATAATTTTTATGCAGTTCGGCATTAATACTTTGTTGAAAAATAAAATGTACGAATGTATTATTAATCATTGCAACGAAAAATGGTACATACAATGAAACACGATGATAATCGTGTAAATATGATAACATAACAAATACTGTATTGAGAAGAACCGTTTTATTTTACACCAAGTAAGAAACTACTAAATTTATGCAAACTTTTGTTTTTGTTATTTTCTTATTATGCACACGTGTTAGTTTTGATTACAGGTTAAGGAAGCTATGACAAACATGACAGTTGGAAACAAATTGGGTCAAAGATTGTTATTATCCTATTGTTCTTTCACTTGCATTTACTTTCCTGGTATTCTGATATTACTCAAGTTAAATGACAACTTGTACAACGTGGGAAAGTACAAATTTATCCCAGTATTATTAATTCTGCTTTTTGCAGAAGTGATAAAGTTACTGTTTCCTATGTTTCAATCTGATTCAATAATTATAGGGAAGACTGAATTAAGAACATCCTCAAAAGCTAGAAAGTCTTGGTCAAAATATTTGAAAGAAATTTTTAAATTTTTATTGGCTGCTTTTCTTTTGTCTGTTATATATTATATTATAATTATACTATTCGGTGCACCTGTATTTATGCATCACGAAGAAACTATCATGCTGACTCTCACATTAACTACTCTTACATTTGTTCCTGCCAGTTTGCACTTAGGAGTGGATGGTGTATTAGAAATCATGACAGGAACACAATCTCAAAAAGGGAATGTCTTAGTGGATGCTGTAAAGATTAATATTCAAGCTACACTTCTAGGTACATGGTTAGGAGCTATTGTAATTCCATTAGATTGGGATCGACCATGGCAAGCTTGGCCAATACCATGTGTAATAGGTGCTCTTCTTGGCTACATGATTGCACACTTTATTACTCTTGCAAAAACCCTACCTATGTTAAAATTAGCCAAAAAAGTTCATAGATAAATAATAATATTTACACAGATAGTCATAATAATTTATTTACAAATTATGACATTTTAGAATAAGATTTTACAATGCTTAATGTCATGAGTCATGAGTTGAACAATGTGAATAAAGTAATTTAAGTGTAATATCCTTTAAATATTTGTGTATCAACACGTGTACGTATTATTTTAGACTAATTTGTTACATAATATAAATTAAACAAAAAAGAATTCAAATATTGTTTATTCGATTTAATCGCCATCTGGTGGTCACTATCCCGAACTAATTTTTCCAAGTTTGGTCAGCGCCTCTATCGAGAAAACGCTCAAGTTTGTCCTCGATTAGTTCCTATTTTCAATGTTAGATGGCGCCATTTATACTGTTTTTTTTTTTAACCGACATGATGGTAATGCACCGACTATGTCGGTAAAAACAGTGCAAATTGCGCCATCTAGCAGTAAAAAAAGGAACTATCGAGGACAAACTTGAGCGTTTTCCCGATAGAGGCGCTGACCAAACTCCGAAAAATAGTTCGGCCTATCTACTACTAGGTGGCTTCGCTCATTAGTTAAAATACCCGCGAAAAAGGCCGTAATTTGAATATCTTCTGACACGTTTTTTAGTATATCCTTTGATATCTTTTCTTTAAAAACGAATCTACAAATACTGAACCAAAGTACGAATTTATTTTACCCGGCAATTATTATAATACGAATGTTACTGTCAGTATTTCACTCAGTTTTTACAGGAAAAGTATAAGTTTGAATCTTAGAATTGCTGAATTCATCTCGCAATGTTTCAACAATTATACTTATGAGCAAATCCGAATGGTTTCTTTAACTTTTGTAGGAACTATGTATGTTTCAGCAACCGATACAGATAGTTTGTTACATTATCCTACTTCGGAATACGGATAACACAACAAGAGCACATTAAAGTCCCAAAATTGTCAAGCCTAAATGTTCTCGCTATATATATTCCGTAATTCGGGTTTTTTTTTTCTCGAGGGTGAAAAAGGTCCAGCCACAGGTAGAAGCCCTCGAGGCTCAGTCAGCGTCAGAAGTTTTTGTGGAAGCGTAATGGATCGAAATGATAAAGAGACACGTGCTGAGAGAAAGAAAGCCCCGGGGCCGGTGGTGAGGTGGGAGGTTGAGCAGGGTGAACATCGAGGCGGGGGTGAATCGACGGTGGCCTGTAGGCTCCAACCCCTCAGTAACGCGCCAGCCTCTGTCGAGGAGGTACCTACGGTTTCTGTGCTATGTTCATGATGTAAATACCCCCGCTGCGTCACTGAATTTCCATCGATGCTCCTTTTATCGTGTTATCAGACTAAATGCGAGCCAACAGCTTCCGACGAGATTATCCTTCTCAAGCAAGAAACACTCGTAACTGCTGACGAAGACGAAACAATGCGATGGTGATTTTCGCACGGTCGCGATCAACAGGTTAATTCTTCGCCAGCAAAATCGAGGCGTTTGGTGAGTTGAAAATAGTTTACGGTTTTCATGGACAATGACTTCGTTTCGACAGGTAATTTTAAATATTTATCGAATACCTGTTGCGATTTAGAGTACTGTAAGGAGCTATGTAGCGTGATTTTGAGTGGTGTTCGCGGTGTAAGGGAAATAGTGGTGCTATTAAACACTAGTTTACGTGATTTTACGTGTATTTTATAAAATAATAATAATAATTTTCAGCTTTAAAGAAGATCTCTTTCAAAGAAGATCAACGAAACCCCTTGCACGGTTACGAGAAATCATCACCGAAAAGCGTCGACGCTGAACACGCGAGAGAGGCAAGAAAACCAAGCTGAGATGAGAATCCAATCTGCAGCGAAAGATTCACCCGTGTCTCAGAGAGAACTGAAGGTGATCGAGGAGAACGAAAAATCCTACGTTTCATCGTCGCTGCGGGAGTACAATGAACCGAGGAGAAGTTGGTCCCTTCCCTCGGTAGATTGAAATAGGGACGATCTAGGACACGATCAAAGGAAGAGGAAACGGTCAAGTCAGCGAGGGAAGTTACGTTTACGAGATGGCGACTAGTAGTCCCGGACAATCGATACATCTAAAATCTCCGCGTAGTCCCCGTCAGTTGCCGCAATTGCCAACGATTCCAATCGGTGGCCAGAGAAGCCCCACGCAGCTCTCTGTGACCAAATCGCCTTGTACGCCGCTGGTCTTTGAGTTTCCGCCAGAGTGCTATCCAGAGACGCCCAACGCGAACTTTGACTTCGAGAAGTTTGCCTGTGCCAATCAGCCCGACTGCCCGCTTAGAAGCCCGAGCCACTATGTCCGTCAAGGATGCAGAAGTCCCAAGAGCCCGAATCGGGACCTGTTGCACTCTCCAGGCAGAAAGTCCCCGATATTTCAATTCTGCGAGGCAAGGAAGAGCCTGGGGAAGACTATGAGCTATCCACCGAAGAGTCCAATCTCCGGGCCACCTATGCCACCGAAGAGATCACCCAGTTCGTCGAGCTTTGGATCCAAGAGTCCAAAGCCTTTTGATCATCGAAGGAACTCCTGCTTCGGGTTGAGCGGATCGAAGAGCCCCATGTCTCCGACGATCGTCACTCCGTTGTCTCACGGGGTGTCTACCCAGAAGCACTCCGAGATGAGCCTCGACCACCAGCCGCAGAACAATGTTAGTTATAAGAACTGTGGATCGATGGGCTCATCGGCGGAAGGGTTGCTCAAGGAGAAGAGCGACAGTCCGAGCGATAAGAAGAATTCCAAGAGGACCAGCCACTTTAATCGAAGCCAGGGCTGCCTGGACGAGGTTGGGAAGAATCAGAAGAAAGACGACGATCTCGGTTACGGGAGAAACGAGAGGAATGTCGCGAGGAGATCAACCAGCGATTTAACGGAGATCGAGGATGCGGATACGGAAGTGACTCTGCTGTCCAGTCCTAGGAGAAGAGGCTCGATGAAGGGCGGTCTTGGTGAGCGTTCTTTTAGATTACAGTTTACTTGTATTTTTGTTGGTGGACATCGCCGTGTGTCGTCCTCGTTAAGATGACCATTGTGGGAACATTTTGTCGCGACCCATCTGACGTGGGCTGAGTAGGTCACCGTGTAGAGGGATCAGTTTAGAGATAGACTTTGTTAAAAAGTTTAGACACGTGTTCTCTTTGACCTTATTTCTGAGTTATAGGAATCTTCATACGACGGTAATTGTTCCATTGAAGTGGAGTAACACGTGCCGACGAGTAAACAAATGTTGTTAAAGTATTACTTCCCATTGCCACGTATTACCGAATTCACCGTATCGAGAATATTTTTTATTGATCTCTGTTGGCCTCGTGACTGGTAAAAATCGTGAATTATTTACGTACACATTACGTAACACGTTTAATTACTGGAACATTAAATCGTACACGAGACAATGGTCTCACGTGGCGATTAACGAGCACGGATAGATCGGCTTAAATTCCAGTATGACGTTACGTGACTAATGAGATGTTCGAATCGATTATAATAAACATAACACTTGTCCGAGAAGGAAAGCTTCGCATAAAATCGGCAGGATGCTGTTGCGTCAGGTGGAAGTAATTCTGGTTGAAAAATCTCTTTTGCATCCGCAAAATGCGATAACGAGACGTGTTTTTAGAGCGCGAGAGCCGTCGTCACGTTTCACTGTTGAGCGTCGAGTCTCGCAATCAGCGGGAATTGTCGAACGAAACCGCGGAATACGAATAAGGACACGTACATGGCTCAAATAATCGTTTCATCGGTTACGGTTTCGCGGCTACAGGAATTTTGATCTTTTATATGCTTCGCTCGAACTGAAATTATTACTTTTCAATTTAAGAACTTTTTTTTTTTTCTTTAAATAATTTAAACTTGTTAGTTGCAAATAAAATATTTTTCACAAATGAATCGATGCAATAGAATTCGAGGTTCCGTCTACGAGATCGGTAACGCGTAGACAAAGAAAGGATCGCAAAATCGAATCGCTCGGGTGTAATCATTTTTCCCAGGTTGCTCCTAAGCTCCGGCCTGATGGGATTCTCATTTAAAGGTCGGAGAATAAAACGGAACCAGTCCCATCTCTACTCCTTTTCTACCCCCTTGAGTCGCGTTTCATTCGATTCTTTTCATTCCTCACAGCGTCCTTCTTCCTCCATCCTGGAGGACTGAAAGCCATAGGCTGTATTTCGAGAACGTAATCCCGTAATCCTCTTCGATCTTTAATCCGTTCGCGAGTTCCAGCCGCGTTTAGTTAGCTCAGCGTTTCTCAAATTAGAGTCCGCTCGCAGATGATGAAAGCATGTCATATGAAAATGGCTAACACGTAAGTACAGTTATAAAAAAAAAGCAGTTTCGATTCATGAGTTAAATTCTACGCTAGGAGATCCGCTAAAAGTTGCGCTTTATCGAGTGGAACACGTGTTTAGGCACAGATCGAGAAATACTGAGATAGCCGGTACAGGTTCCTCGTGCGCGCGAATGCGATCGAGCGCGAGAAAATTGGTCGCAATGATCGTTTCTAGTAGGAATTGTCGTTTGACGTGTTTCACAGGCATTTACCAGCGACGCTCAGCTAGAAATTATTGGCTTTTACCACATTGTGTCACGGCGGTTTATCTGCGGCGATCCCTTTGAACTGGTTCGCATTATGAATTCCCATCTCGTGTTTGATGAAATATCCTCACACGCGTCCACGTTTCTGTGTACGTTGCAGCCTACCTGGCGTCCAGACGTGGCTCCCGTGACAGTCAATGCTCCAATTTGTCGAACGTCAGCAACGAGGACGTGGGTCCGTTGAATTTCAGCGCGCATCCCCGCGGCAGACAGCGGAGAACATCAAACTTCCTTGAGCTACCAGGTAAGGACATTTTTCTCTCGTTAGTCATCCCTGGAGGGTTATTTTTCTTCGGTTTGGACGGTCGTTGAACGTAACACGATTTGGGCAGAATGACGTGAACATCTATGAAACGCGCTGTTACTGTTTTATTAGTACGGGGATGGCACCATTTGCCCGTAATGCTCCTCGACAATTTGTCCAATTTCGTTTGGCGGAACGAGCAATTCCTTAACTGTAGCTTACAGCGATGATCGAAGCAGGGAGAAAGGCTTGATACTTGCTGTTCCTTCTTGTTTGTCGAGCATTAAGAATATTGGAATCACGAAAACAATTACTCCGCGGAACTACGATTACCCAGAGTGCGGGTCTTTATGCGAAATAAAATCTTCGCGAACGTGCCTACAAAAGTTGAAGCTAAATAGGAATTCATTTTATTCTGTAAATATTATAACGTGAACTTTACTTTCAATTTTGTTTATATTCTTGCATATTTTTTGTATTCTGTAGGGTCTCGCACATTCAAATTTCCTATAAATGCACAAAGATTCGCAGTCTAGTGATTACTAAGACTCGACTGCGAAAATCTCTCGCACAGTGTTACAAAGGTGCAACGGCGGTTTGACTTCCCATTGGACGATGACTTCAACGCATCGGTGGTAGCGCGCACGAGATTTTTTTAACGCCGGTATACGTAACGCGGCAATCTTTTGGTCGCAACGCGTTTTCATGATCCTTTTCCAAGCCACCCCCGCGGCAATTTTTACAACACCGTCGCGTCGTGACAATCGAACGACAGTTTCGCAGTAACTGCGCTGCTATTTGTATCGAATGGTATCGGAAACGGTGGTGGCGCGGTGCGGCTTGGCCTGGTTTCAACTTTGAATGCACAATTCGAATGCGGAGCGAGGTCTTCGCTAACGAAATGAATGTGTACACGTATTCGATATAATTCGTTGTTTTCAGTGGTTGTGTCGCGGAAATTGGGAATCGCGTGAATTGTTTCTTAAGTAATTATCTCTAGGTAGCCGTGTAGATTTTCCTGGGTGGTCGATCGATTATGGAGTAGCGCCGGTGGCGCGCGAACCGCGTCAATATTTGACTTTGTCACTGTAATTATAGTGTCACAGTTCGGCGGATGACAAAGTCGCAAAGAAACAGAATGAAGGGAATTTAGCGAGGTTTTATATGACCGTAATTGTAGAAAGCAACGATTGTCAATGTATGCTGTAGCTACGTTTTGCCACTTTTACGAGGAAGAACGAGATACAACGGAAATGTAGAACGACGTTTTTGCGAGTGCGTTGTTCGTTGCGACAAAAATCTGTGCAATGAATAATCATATGATACGCGTGCGGTATTGTACCTACGCGTTCTATTTTCACCGTTTCTATTATTCTAAAGTTCAAGACAAAATACGTTCGCTCGGGAAGACCAGCAGACATGTTCAAACGAGAAATCGGGTCACGAGAAGTTTCGTGACAACGACACCGAATAATTCCGACGCTTTACTGTTACGGAAACAGATGAAACGTCCATTTACTAAGTCGTAAATACCGTATATACGCGTGTTAACATCTCCAGAAATGATTGATGTCTCCAAACTTTCTCTACGGTGTCACACTAGCAGGGAGTATCCATGAAAAATTGAGAATATTCTCAAGTACGGTCTCACTCACTTCCACGAATTGTATGCAATAGAATAACATCCATTTCTATGGCGGTCGTTTCAACAAAAATCAACATAGCTCGGTTTACGATGGAATCGATACAAATCAGCAAACTCTAATTACGGTAATCGCAAGAAATATTACGGATATTTAGAACGTTATCGATTTTTATATTTTCGTCCAGAGAGTTGACGGGACGTCGCGAGACCAGATAACCCAGCGTTTCCCAGATCCAATAGGACACGATTTTCCATCGGTACTTCAGATCTTCAAACGCTCGTCAAAGACGAACCCCTCGTTCGTCTCCTCCTCCTGTTCGAGTTAGCGGAGGGAGCAATATCACGCACGAAATTGTGAGGATAATTTCCAGAAGGTTTCCAGGCAGCTCAAGAGTACCTAATCGAGTGTATTACGTTGACGGATTACCCTTCGAGTATCCTAGGCGGTCGTATCTACACACCGGAAATTAATTACGCGGGCTACGTCCGTTGGGTAAATACTTTCCGTAAACAGAGGCCTTGCTGGGCCTTCTAGTACCACGGAAACGATCGACGGAGCGAAGGGATGGGAATCCTAACTCAGGATTTACCCGTTCTTCTTCTTTCTATTCCATTCTTTCTATTCCATTCCACGCGAAATTAAGAATGTTATACGCGACTCATTTTGCCCAGAGTAAATAAATTCTCTCTCTGATAATGATTAGTTTCCCCTTTTACAGATGAGAAATTCTGACTAACAATCGCGACTGTTGGCTAAAAATAGAAAATCAATAAGTTTACAACGAAAATTATCGCGACCGCGAACCGTGACGCTACCGTAAGTATTGGAATTTTGATAACGCGAGTGAGAAAGCCTTGGAAAAGTAAAAAATAAACGAATAAAAGATTGATAGATGTTTGTCTGGTAGATATAAGATTTATTCGAATCGTTATTTTTGCAAGTGAATGCAGAGACGTGTACTGTCTCGAATTCGAAAGGGGAAGATGGACGAATCGATTTTGGCACCTTTAACGAGAAAAATGGTCAATTGGATTTCTGGGTCAATGTCGAAATTCTGATACATTTGCTCGTCCAATCTTGGGCGAATTGAGTTACCCGTGCCACGCGCGAACCGCCTCAAGCTCTGATCCCAGCGTCGCATCGACATGCACGATCGAAATTAATTGCTGGTTAATTAATTGAAACGTGAGTCGCTTACTTAAACCAACATTCGTGGCATTGAAATTTCCCGCGTAACCGACGAAAACTAATCGGTAACTTCGACGGAGTGAAGTTCCGGCCAGTGTCGTTGCTGCAATTAAATAGCTTGGGCGGGCGACGAACTTCTTGAGTGCCTCGTCGGTTGTAACTGCATTAAATGTCGAACCGTGGTACAATTTTCATCGAGAACTTTGCTCTCGCATGGGTCATTCCACGCGGAATCGATCATATGTAGCGGACGATGTCAGGGGTTTTGTTGAAATTGAATACGTGGTGCAGCTCGCGTAAAACAAGAGGAGGTTTGTTATTATATTGCTGAGAAAAACAAGGCGTTGAATTGTGCGTCCTTACCAATATAATTACGAACATTTTCATCTTCTAAACTACCAACGAATTGATAATAATCAATTTGGTGGCGCGTGGATGGCTATTAGAAACGTCATCTCGTTGCCCTTCCGGCGTTAATTTACCTTATAATAGAACAATCGATTTAAATCCGGTGCATTGCTCGTTGAAATTAATTAAAAGATGAATTATTGCGCACGAGGAGATATAATGTCCACGGGGGAAGAAAAGTATTCCGTTTAAGTAAAAAATCGGTAACGATCTCGGTGGCTTGTGCAATTCTTAAATAGCGGTAAATTCAGATTGATTCTTCTGTAATCTATAATTAGACCGAACGCGATAAGGAAATAGTTGTACCAAGGATAAGTACTTACGTTTACTTTGTAATTATCCACTTTCCGAGAACGATGGACATTCCGAATTATAAGAATACGAATACTTGGCCCACCTTTGACTGATCTGTAAACGCTGCAAAGAGCCCTATTTGTCTTACACTACGTCACAGAGGCTGCCCTTTGAATATTACGCGACGTGCAGGCTAAATGTCAGGTCTGATCTGGTCTTCTTTGCACATTTCGGTTGAATAGTGAACGTATTCGCAATACTGTCAATTCCATTCGTAAATAGATATATCCTGGGAAGTACACATTTTCAGGGCACAAGTACTGTACAAAAATATCGTTTCATCGATAAAATTGGGAGTAAACTTTAATGGAAGTTGGAAGTAGTCCCGAAATAAACGTAAACATTACACGCGTCCGATTCCTGCGCGATACCGAAGAGAAATATGTTCCATCGAACAAAATTCTACGGGAATTTTCCAGAGTGGAATCAATTAAATTTCCTGCCTTTGACTCGAGAGCTTCGTCAACGAAATTTTCGTTATTTCGACGGTCGCGCGTTCTTCTCATGAATAGCGCGTCTAATGGTACATGCACCGCATCGTATGGTATGTTATTTTAACACTCGAGATATACTAAATTAATAACATTACGAATTATAAAGAATTAAGTTCATTGTAAAGGCTGACTGTTGTTTATGGTTTAATGACATAACTAACTGCTAATTGTTTGTATTTAAATTAATTTGATACTACATGGTTACTAAGTCATTTACAATACGTACAGTAACATTCGATTTTCGATGAAATGATATAATGAATTTGTGATGACAAAGTTCAGCATCGTCTGCCAAATATCTGGGAAGAATTAATAAGTTTCCGGCATTCCACGCAGCTACTTTTTAGAAATAACAATCTTTACGAGTACCATATAAAAACTAAACACTATAAAAGTAAGTTTTCAAGCTTTTGTAATACGAACGACGTGAACGAGTGAATGGAAGGCCAGCGATTGATTTTTCCTTGCTTTTCACATCCTGAAAGAAACGCGGATGAAAATTGGCCATCGACACGCGACAAAATATGACTTTTCGAAAAGTCGGGCGAATTTTCCAGCGGGAAATTGCGAAGTGCTTGAAGCCAAAGCTTTGCCATCGCTCTCTACGACCGTCTGATCGCGGAAATCATTTCACGATTGGGGTCTTGAAAAAGTTTAAGCGAAAAATAATCGCGAGCTGTTTAAACGAAAATTGAAGACTTCTTTTTTTCGCGATTGGAGAGAACGGTCTGTTGAAAGAAAGTTGACGGAACATTTAATGAGAAGTTTAACATGCAAACTCGAGGTCTTTGGATCGGCGAGTTCTCGATTTAACGGTGAATACGAGTTGTTCAACTTAATTCTAAAGTTTTAAAGTGCTGCGTTATAATCCTGCGAAATAGGACCTATTTTAACGTGCAATAGAGTTTCACAGGTGTCGGAAACGAACGACAGTATCGATTCCGTTATCGGTTAACGAAGAGGAATATCTGATTAGCAAAACGTCCAGCCAATATCTATTGTGTACGTTGCCTCGTTCGAGGTAATAACATAGCTTTAATTAACTGTCCATCGTTGATACGTTGCAGTGCCAGATCACATCAGACCACGCGTACACAGTTTACCAGAAAAAGCATACAACCCGAGAGCCGGTGACGATCTCTATCGACTTCGGGCGTTCAGCATCACCCATAAAGGCGTCGTTAATCGTGGCGATTCGATTATTTCGAGACACAGCAGGAGCAACACTTCCGTCAACAGTAGCAGGTAATCAATCACGAATAAAATAGGCGCTAATATATGTTCTCCTACTTTCCTTCGATTACGTTGCGTATCATTCTCACGGGATAATTCGTTCTTCTACAGCGAGTATCGGTTGCTAACTGTTCGCTTTTCACTTCGTTAAACGTCTCTACTCCGTAAAACTTTCATTCTTATTTTATATTTCGACATACATAAGTAAAAAATCGTTTCGTTCGGCAGTTTTACAGCGATCTTTCGCGGAGGATCCGTTACGTTTTCCCTATAAAATTTACGTATAAACAATACCATGGGCCACGATTTGGAAACATCGAAGCCGATAATGGAGCGCGTTCTTCGTACACACTGGCCTGATTATGCTCTCCTACTTTCAGCATTAGCATTCCGGCTTCTTTTCGTTTCCATTGAATCGCGTCGAATCCGACCTAGAACGGGAACAATGACAAGCAAAATGGGCGACATGTCGTTCATCGATCACGTCACGTTCTCTCTGACTTATCGCAGCCGGCATTTAATTCCAATTTCCGTGTCACGAGGTTACTATGCCGTAATTAATTAGTTTTCGACATGTTACATTCGGTTTTCGTGTCGAGTGTCATTCAGCCGGTTAAAGACCGCTTTATTTGCCTTATATCATTATCTACAGTCCGAGATAGACAAATCGTTCGTATTGTACCCGTTATACCCCCAAATATTCAGAAAAGTCTTTCCAATACAATTCGTTTGATCGATTTTCCGTGAATCGTGACATCGATATCTTTCTTCGTGACCGATGAAATGTCAAATACAATGTACGTTAAACGGAAGTATGTCATCCAAAATTTGACCAGTGCAATTTCAATTACGCAGCGACGCGGTAACCTAATCACGCTTGAAGCCTCGTTCTACTTCAGCGTCAATTCCTCTCGCCCTTTGTACCGTCGTGGCATTAGGGGATCTAGTCGGAATAGAATTAATGGAGCGCGCTCATCGAACACTCGACTACAGTGGAAATGAATTTTGTTGGTCATTCAAAGCCGCTATCCTCACCAGAAACTGTATAAATTCGCATAATCGAAATGGTATCGTCCAGCTGTTGCTAAATATCAAATATAAATGTATATCAAATTAAAGGACCATCAACTATACGATTATACGTTACACAGAATTTTAATTGGCTATCAATTCCTTCAACTAATTTCTGCCTATTTCTGTACAAGGGTGCGTGATGTTTCCAATGGAGTTGCTCGAATCGTGATACCTCGTAGGATCGCACCGTTCGGATCCCTCTACCTTTCGCTTACGATAGCCCATAAGTCTTCCCTTCCGTGACAAAGAAAAATCGTTTCTACCCATAGGAACGATGTTTGTACCTAACCCACCGTGAAATAATTCTCGCGATAGAGGTTTATGAGAATCGGGCCTCCCCTCCCCAAAAATTTAATCCGCTCGCGATACTCTGATAAAGGGGGTGAAATCGACGATCGCGAGCGGTTGTTTGTATCGAAATTGCGTTTCGATGGAACGATAGAGGATCGAGTTTGTTGCGATGAGAGGTCGATAATTCGATCGCGTTGAAAAGCGGAACAGTGAATCGTGCAAATTTCCTCGTGTTTTGCGTGATTAATGAAATTATACAAGCTTCGTTTGCGAAGCAGTGAGAAATTCATGGGAAAAACGAAATACGTTTTAAAATTGAATCCCTTGCGCCCCGAGAACTCCTTCTGCTGTTACGTTTTTGAAATCTCATAAGACGGAACGGTGGCTCGACGCAGTCGACAAACCACCCTATTATGGATGAATGCTTAGGGAAAATATTCGTTGTATGGTGTTAGGTGCTGAGTTATAACTTGGCTCGCCTAGAATATCTCGGTTATTCTAAACAGTATGAAAAAAAGCGGCTCAGATGGAAGATTGTTTGATTTTTTTTTTACGACGCATCGTACACTACGATTATGTAGGAAGATGAAAAACGGGAATTTGTGATTCTTTTGCTGCAAAATGTGTATCTTAAATCCCTAAATACTTTGGGAATATATTTTCGAAACCTGAAGGTGTAAGATGTAAGAAGAAATCGGTATTTTTAAGGTTCTGGACTAGAAGAACCCCTTAAATTATGTACATTTTTCTGTCCCAAAGATTTTCTTTCGTCCGCTACTTTGGAAAGCACCGATCCAGAGTCTCACCCTCGGCGGTATGTTCAGCATTTATCTTGACGAATCCCTTTTCTTTCCGGTACTCGTCTTTCAGCTCGACGTACGTTCGTTTCCCTGGAAAGTTTTCGGTGCTCTTTGCATATTTACCCTGTTTACCAAAGGTATTGAAATTCCCCTGCGGCCTTGGGGGTCTGGCTTTCGCGAAGCCGGAGGTCGTAAACGAGAACCCTCGTCGTAGCATGGGTGGCCTGTAAAATTTTCAACATCTTCCGCGTGTCCCGCGAGTCCGCGGGCCCCGCTTAATTTTGGGGTGGAGACACAGTGAATTTTCTCCTACCTTAACCCTGTCGCTTTCCCTTTTATATCTCTCACCGCGTATCATCTTACCCTCAGGCACCTTCCCTTAGTCGCGAGAATGGATCGACGACAACTTTAGCGAAAAGATCGTCAACTCGTCGTTCGTGGCAATGAATTTAGTCACTCGCGGTAACGAATTTACTCTCTCGTGGTAACTTCAAGTGGCAGGAGGAATTGAGTTTATCGTCCAATTTATTTCATCCTACCGACCAGAAGGATGATTTTTTTTTTTTTTACCTAAAACTTTGTAGATATTTATACTTTACTTGTACTTTATACTTTATTTACGGGCAATCTGCCCTTGATATCACGTACAATTTAATAACAACGACAACAAGAAAAACAAAAGGAAAATGGAGACAGTTACGGTATCTTATAATGTAACGTGTTCAAACTTGATCGGGCATCTGCAAAATTGCAACGACTGACCGTTTAAATGCTAAAGGTGAGTGATGAAAAAGATCAACAGATATATTAAGGCATATTCTTCGATAGACCCTAGAATTTATCGATATTCTGTTCGTTATCCTGTCTACGATTCTGACACGTGCCTCGTTGAAATTCGACGAGCTCCATTATACGAAAGTGCACCATCTACCGTATCCGCGCTTATGTATTCCGCAACCGAGGAAGCAGGGACGAAGGCTGGCATGGAAACGAATAAAAGCGCCAAAGTATCTTAGAAACTTTATTATACAAAGATTATCGAATACCCGCAACGAAGTCTGGGATCGAATACGTGACAGTGATGTAGAGGTTTACGCGTTCAAAGGAGGATCGAAGAGTCGATTGAGGTGTGAATCCTAGGAAGAGAAGGTAATTGGCGGTGAACCACGCCGATTGGAGGAGAGCCAGCTCGTGGCCGAAGGCTTCCAAAACGTTCCCTCGTTTTCTTCTTCTTCTTTTTCTCATTGTCACGCAGCACAGAATGCCGCTGGTTATTTCTGTATCGCACCCCGATTACTGGACGCCTTGACCCGTCGATCGGTCGTTCGACTCGACTCTGCGTACGTCTTCGATCCATGAGTCTTTTCAAAAATTTTATCTGGTCGGGGCTGTGGAGAGGTAAAACCGAGGGAGTCTGGTATACATCGTCCTATGGTAAACGTTTTGCCTCGCGTTCGTTCTTCCCGGCTCCTTTCGTACGAAAACGCTGAATGCGAACAAAGGATCCGTGGCTCGACGTATCTGGAATCAGAGGTTGAACAACCTTCCAAACTGTTGCAGCCGTTCCTCTCGAAGCCCGCATGTTCGAACGGAGCGCGTAAAATAAACGGTGGCGGTGGATCGTCCGTTGCTGGAGTCGAGTTAGAAATACCGCGTTCTAGCCTCCCCTGCGTGGCACGGCGTCGAGAAAGGGTTTCTGTTGTTGCTTCTCTTCTAGTCGCTGTACTCGATCGTCTCCTCGAACTCCATCGACTGCTGGGACCTGGTCGACGACGAGGTCACGGATTTTATCGACGAGGACGACTCGATCACCGACTTGGACTGGACACTTTGCACGGACTTCATCGTCGAAACGGACGTTGACTCCGACGAGACGTTCAACGACTGTGCGATCAGACTGTCGGCGGATTCGTTTACTAGAGCACAAACAACACACGAGCTATTAGTAATTCGACCAGCCTATACCAGCGCATAGAACGCGTTTGTCAGTTGGGATCGATACATTTTCTCGGTTGGTTATAATTAAATTTTGCATTTTTAAATTACTAGTACAATTGCTTTCGTTCGTGGCGCGATTCGATTTGACAGAAGGTCGTTCTTTTTTGAAACGCATCGAAATTGTAGAATGAAATTTTCCAACGCGGGCTTTCATTTTTCAGATAATCGAGTTGGAATGCGCGATGGGTTGCGCGCGTGCACTATTAAAATTCGAATCAAACAATCTCGTTTTGTATTTCTACCGTGCCAGAGCAACGTTCAGATACGGTAATACTATTCCCTGGATAGAATATTCCTCCTTTGAATCCAGAGAAGGCAGATAAATTGAAAACTATGTTTACTTCTACTTTCTATCCGAAACGAACTGCCTCCAACTCGAAAACTGATTGAAAAGGTAGTCGTTCAGTCAAGCTGACAGATTTCCACGAGCCTTTTTCGAAAACTGTGATTATCGCGGAAATTGAAACAAAATTTCGCATCTGCGGATCCGTTACACCTGGCTCGGCAAAGTTCGGAGATAGAAGATGAAGGATTTGATCGCGGGTCGGATTGAATTTGTCACACGCACCTTTGGCGACTTCCATCGTGGAAGAAATGTTCCGCGTCGGTGCTCGGTGGTGTTTCCAAGGGATGAGGAATCGAGCGCGAACAACTCGGGATCGAACTTGCGAATGGTGCGAACGTCGGAGCTTCGGGTTATTCTAAACCGGTATCCAGACGTGGGAGAGGGAAAGTTCGCGGTCACGTGACAGACGGTTTACTGGCCAGGGGATCAAGGGGAGAGAAAAGTTCGACGTGTTTAGCGGCTTTTACGACGCGAAGAGGAGTATTCGTGGAATTTCGAATGGCTCGCGACGTATGCATCTCGACGGCTGAGTCAATGTTCTTCCGACAGGGATGCATCGCGAGATCTCAACAATCGATGATTCTTTCGTCTCCGCGAATCGTCAACGACTATGAGTAATCGTATAGTGGAAGTACGAGCGGCAAAGTGCCAACATTTGAGGGTAATGTATCAGCAGTTATCCCTCGTGATAAAAAATCTTGTCTATATTGTTTTTTAAACATCAATATCAATTGTGCTCTCGAGCTTTTGAACTCGTATAATATACGTAAACGTTACGGACGTGGGTTTTTCGTTATTTTTCGTCCGAAATTCATCCCAGTAGTCATTCGCATAAAACACTCCGCGTAATCACTCACTCAAACTGCCAAACGTATTTGACGTTGAAGAGCGATCGCGTGATCGGACACAACAGAAACATTTGCCTGGTCTGGTTACCCATCGAGCACCATACAGATGAAGCTGTCCTTTCGGATAATGATAATGATCACCAACGAACATCGTTATTCGAGTTTCGTAGGTTTCACAATTACGGGACGCGGTATACTTTTACTAGGAAAATAGCGATCCGTAATGCGTTTACAGGTATGTTATTTTTCTCTGAGATGTACCGAGGGCTCTTGCGTCGCGGTGTAGAACGAGAGGATGATCTACAGCCGGAGCAAGTAACCCGAGTTCAATGAGAGGAAGTCTCGAGAGGGTAACTCGAGAGAAAGAACTCATCTTCCAAGGAATTAGGATCGACGTTTGTTAGGTTCGATTAAATGAACCGAGAAAGGCGAGCCACCGTGCTGCGTTGATCAAGCGAACTCTATTCTATTCGTTTCCCTGGCGATATAACTTTAACGAGACTTTCGATTACAGATTTCTATTTCGCGTTGCTTGCACCGATATGCTGAAAAAGTGCGGTACTTTGGAACTTCCTGAAACAGCATCTCGCGGACGATTTTACGAGCTTTGACGAGATTCGCATGATAAAAAATGCACGACTACGTACTTCCCGAGCATTGTCGTAAAACTTTACTCGTTCGAGAAACACGCGAGATGCGGGAACGCCGAGTTTAATTATCGAGGACGTTGTGGAAGAGCTCGACTCGAGTTTCGTACGAATTAAAGCGGTCCAGACAGTCTGCGGACTCGGTTTCCGTAATTGTTCGCTCGGAAACTGGTGTTTGGTTGTCTCGAGGTGATTCGTAATCGGATAGGATGTTGTCCAGCCGTAACATAGAAACTGTTTTCACGCGATTTCCGTTTCTCGGTGTTCCACGACGTGAAAAATAACCGTAGGAACTACGAGTAGTTCGCGTTCACCTTCGTTCGCAAATTATTCTCGATCGTCGAGCGAAGGATTTACGCTCTGGCATTATTCCGCGCTATGGCACACGAGCCCTGTTTACAGCGGAAAAGCTCGTTGAATTTTTGCCAGCTTCGCGAATTTCCTTTACACGTTTTCTTACGATCGGTTCGACGTGATTCATTTCAGTAAAGGAGACGTGCCAAAGTGAAACGACTCAAGATATTTTATCCGATGGTTTTTTTTCTAGTTCGTACTAATTTGCACGCGAGTTAACATTTGGAAGCGCGATTCGATCATCGAAACGTTAAGCCAAGAAGAAAATAAATCGTCGTTCGGAAGGAAGGTTTCGTTCGGGTACGATTTATTTATGTCTCTTCTACTTGAAGTCACGATTTCCTGGGCCTGGAACATGAGTCACGAGTGATTGTAACAGACTTTTCCTAGTCCGTGACTAACACATAATCGCTGAATCACGGATCAGTTAGACCGTGGAATCGAATTTTCGTGGGCATCGTCCAAAGTTCCGTCGCGTTCGGAGCGATAAATAAACCTATTTGAGGTAATTGTCAGCCAATGTCGAATCTGACCCAATTAATTCTACGGATATTTTGACGGGAATCTTAATTATTGCTCCATCGTGACGTTGGCGCGCTAAGAGCATTGCCAGGCAGATCCGTCGTCGCGAGAATAGAACTCTTTATTTATATGTATTTGTTGTAACAAAATGATGACTAAGGCTGCGCTATTTTTACACACCGTAACAGGCTGGCCCAAGGTGATTTTCACTGTATAAATTTAAGTGCAAAATTGAATTTACCGAACATCCACGACTGAAATTCTATTCGGGCGTGAAACGATTCGAGGGTGTTCCGAGGTCCGAAGCTTTTCCTTTTATTCGGAACCAGAATAAATTTACGAAGCATTGAAACTTGTTAACACTCGGACGTACCAGTTCTCGCATGTACGTGTCTATATTTTTTTAACGATACATCCTTGCAATGTTATCCGAGCAAAAATTATACAAGCAAACCTCGACATGAATATTTCTTAATTATTCTCTTTTATTATCTAATTCTTAGGATTCGCTTCTATTAAGTAGGTTTACCAGCAATAATTTCGTCGACGTCCTGTCATCGTCAACGTCAACGTCGTGGTTTCAACGACACGTTCTCAACATATTTTTTCCCCGTCGTCTTCGCGTGCTGTGGTTCTCTCCAAGTTCTATAATATTAGACAGTTCCCGAAAATAGTCACAGCATCTTTGTGGCCCGCGTTAGTTAGGCCTACGAGAGGGATCCCGCAGGGAACGCGTTCAGGAGAATAAGTTTCACGCAGGGTGGCCGGTTTCCAGGGTCTCGTGAAAGGTTTTCGTCGTCTCTGCTCTCCTTCTTCGGCAACCTTTTACACGTAGAAATGACTATAAATTTACGTTCTCCTGGACGACGGAGTGCTCGGTGAGGGTTAATGAGATTCTTTGGAAAGAAGTTTCGACTATTAAACAATTCGGGAGAATAATTGAACTGCAGGAGATAACTGGATTGAAAACTGTTTCTACTATCTGTTAAGATTGATCGTTTAGAGATGCTGGCTGTTGCGCCAGGTTTATACACCGATGAAAACATATTAAACTTTAATATTTGCCAACGATTATGGAAAGTATTTCGAGCCAAAAGGAAATCCACTGTACAAGAACTATTATTATTGTACATGGTGCAGCCTTTGCAATGAGTCACAGAAGCATTCGTAATTTCTCATCAGCTGGCGTCAGACTATTGGAATTTAGAATACATGTCACAGCTTCTTCGCAAAATAAGTATATAAATAAAGTAGATACACGCAGAAGATAGTTGTTCTGTTAAAAGAAATCGGGTTGTTACGGGAATTATTGCTCTGCTCGATGGGTTGGGTCCTATCTTGAAATAGATGGTGTAAATATTTGCACCGTTTTTTCGTTTTCTTACCGGGATCCTCCGTTTATATATAACTCCACATCTTCAGCGCCATCTTCGTGGTTGGTTTACACACGTGCCAAGCCTGAGGAATGCACGGGCATTGTTCTTGGCCGGGAAGCAACACGCTGTCCTAACGCAACGCGACGATAAACGCGAGAAGATGATCGTAACTGATGACAATCGATCATTCATGTACGATCTCAAAATGGTATCGTTTGCGTTTACCATTTGCTGACGTATTTAAATATATTTACCCGCCACGTGTTGCATCTAGGAGTCACGCGATTGCCGTCCAGTCATTAGCATCTCAAATATTGCTCGAACGTGGAACCGAGGAGTAACAAGCGATTCTCTTTCGTTTTCGAGAAATAAATTTGTAAAAATATTCAACTTTCGATTGACCAGTGGCACAGTCGGTAGAGTGTCAGGTTGCAAAATGAATCTTTGCTCTGGACTTGGTTCGATTCCGGTAGGAGTTCGTTTTTATCGTACTTTATTATGAAAACTACGTTTTTATATATTAAGATTACTTTCATAAGGATTATTTTGTAATCCACGTTGTTTGATGTTACAGTTGCAATCAATGTTGCGTTTTGCGCGAATTGGAACTTGGAATTTCTCGGCACAAGTCGAGCTTACGCACGCCAGACGTCGTAAAGCGCCTTCGTCGAAGCAGAGGGGTGGAAAAAGGCTTTCCCGTTTCATGCTCAGCGTCGCGTTTGATCGCGCAGAACCACCCACTGGCTTTGCGTTGATTTTCCACCCGACCCCAGGCTAATCCCGCGTCTCCCGCCTCCTTTCCACGTGTTCGCTTTGTATCCGACATCGTGCACGTAAATTCGTTTAGTCCGTCGATCGATAAGGCTTGCGGCCGTTTGCGACTCCTGTTGATCGGGGTCGAAGACGCATTCTCGAATCGGGAATTGTTGGTAATGACCAAACACACCCGTATTGTATCTGGTTTTACGGTAATCGCGACGTCGGGAACTTTCCTTTCGGGAAGTTTCTCGTGTTTACGCAACGTTTCGTGTAGTTTCCCACCGATTCGAGAGATTCAATCGTCAGAGAAATTGATTTCATGGGCACTACAGATGGTGACTCGATGATTCGAGAGATTCGATTCAAACGTTCTCGGCTCATTAGCTTACACCCTCTTAGCTTTCACCTGCTCGAACGCCATGGAACGGGTATAATCGGTTCGCGTCTTATTGTTAGAAACTTTGTAGTGGCTCGAAAAGGGGGTTGCGATTTCGCAGCCCGTATTTCACTCGACGTCGATGGTGATGACTTTTTCCTGTTCACGAAGCAGGACGAAAGCAACGTTGATACGTATTTATCGAGGTCGACGTGACATCGTTTTTACACACTTTCTCAAAAATTATTTCTTGAAAACGTGCACTATATTAATCAAAGTGTTACCCCCTTTGTCCTCTTTGTTTGCAGAAACAGCAATGTGTCGGGGGAAAGATCGCCGTTCGAGGGTTCGTGTTGCAGCGGACAAGGGGTTGCCGCGGACAGCACAGAAAGCGACGAGATCGAGGAAGAGATCCCAAAGTATCGAGTTGTTTTGCTCGGTGATTCCGGTGTCGGGAAAACCGCGCTGGTCTCGCAGTTCATGACCAGCGAGTACATGAACACGTACGACGCCAGTTTGGGTATGTTTCAATCGTTAACGTCTTTCTATTACCTGCATTCGTTTGATACAATCTGTATCCCTCGCTGACATCTTTTATTTATCCAGTAATCAGTACAATGTTTCAGTGTCCCTTGCAGGCTCTATTTAATACCGCGGTAAGTCTTTTCAAAACGTTAGCGTGCAGAAATATCCATCGTTTACATAACGACTGAATTCGCTCTCTTTTCACCCATGCCCCCTTTCATCGTTTCTTTTGTTTCGATCCTATGAGTCGCATTACGGTTCTGGAATTATCGAAACTCGAATACACAGTACTCAAATTATACGCGCCAAAGATTTTCGTCGGATTTCAAGGTTTGTTTGGAGTCGAGCCAACTACTTGCTCTAGCTGCATCGTTATCCACCTTTCTCGATGCAGTCTGCTTCGAATCACGTTTTCCACGTGTAATCGGTAGGGACTTTGTCGAAGAAATTGGATCTTTAACTAAATTCCATTATCGAAGCGAAAAGGGTTGTTTCGCTGAGTTTCGTCTGAGTCGTGCTGTTCGTTGCTCGCGTGGAAATTCTTTTCCTTGGTCGCAGCACTGGAAGGCTAATTTTTCAGCAAGAGTTGAAAAGAAGATCATCGGCGAACGGAGAATAAGTTCTTGATGGAACGTATCGTGGCTCCGAAATGGTAGCAACCGTGTACCGTAGCATTGTTCGCTAACTTCAATTTTACCGGATTCTATCGATCTCTTTGCTGTCGGTTCTCGGAGACCCAGGTTAGCTTTAATGAAACTTTTTGACAAGGTTACCTGTCTAGGGTTAAATCTCCCCAGTGACAAATAGATTTTTCACATCTGGCACCGTGGTGGACAAACTCGTGAAAGAAAAGTAAAAAAAAAAAATGGTTAAAAAGGAAAACATTATTACTTCCAGCGGAAACTGAAATTATTCCCTCGCGTTTCCAACGGCCGCTGCAAGTTTCGCTTCCACTTTGAAACCGCGAAGTGATCCTGGCGGACTTCTCACCGACGCGCTTCGGCTGGAAGGAATTCCGTGGTTACGCGAGCAATATTAATTATAAATGCATGCATGAGATCACTGCAAAGGCTCTGATTTAATGAGTGTTTCCATTACTTGGCCACCTTTCAGCGCTATCTGTAACGGTCAGGCTACCTTTAATTAATTTCTTTCGTTCTCCGGTTCTAACCATCGGGCTCTTATAACATCCCGTTCCGATTCACCTTTTGTTACCATAGAATTTGAATTCCGCCGTTAAATCGAGTGTCTTTATTGCTTCGATCTGCTCCCGAGATATTGTCGCAGTTGTTTCAAATGATTCTCTGTCATCGACGTAATTATTTCAGAACAGAATAGGTTAAAGAGATTCAATGTAAGGCGACGTAACGGCATTGGTCTGTCGAGGAAGGCCGCGTTCATAATTTTCCCAGCAGACCACCCTCGGTTGTTGTTGAAATAAACGCGATCAGCTGGCTGAGCAGTAATGAGAATTTCGTGTAGCTCTGTCAATGCGGATCGTTAACGAGACTACCAGCTGCAGGTGTATCCGCTGGTCCGCACAGACGCGCTTATTACAGGACAATTATTATACATTCCGTGCCGCGCTGAAGCGATTACGCTCGGGTTTATTCCCCCGCCATTCATCGGGACCGTTTGTGTTTTGAGGAGACGTCTCTTTAATGCCGTTATTGCTTCAAGCTTTTACAAAGATATTACTTGCTCGAGGGTGTGGGCTATCGTGACATATGTTAGCTTTACAATACGCGCGCTTTATTCAGATTTAATCTGCCCACGTAGTATAGTTCTTACGTTAAACATTCTCGAAGCGTGGCTTGTTTTTTTAAAGGTCAGGGTGGTCGCAACCCTTAACAATGGACCGCGTTATTGTTACAGACGACGAGTTTGGAGAGAAGACAGTGTCGATTCTACTTGACGGAGAGGAGTCGGAAATGGTGTTCATCGACCATCCTCACGTGGAGATGAGCGTAAGTGGCGTTATCGTTTCCAATTCGGGATGCTCACCTACGCACCCGCGTCGCGGGACAACGCGCGTCCACCTGAAATTGTGCGAACGCGTTCTCCCTCGCAATTAAACGTTCTCGTGGGTTGAATTGCTCCAATGGAAAGACAAGAGGTCACGAAATAAATGGAAACATAAATGTCGCATAGAATCGAATAGATATCAAGAAGCGGTTCGTTTGGACGATATCGAACTTCGAATAAGACATAGACGCGTTTCCTTTACTTTTTCTCTAAACGTTTTCGTTTATCGTAGCAGGGAATTTCGTGCGGCAAGCGTTCTTCGATGTATTTAGTATACTGAAGTATCAGTCGTTAAGAGGAACGAGTATTACGCTAGCACAGTGCAAGTTCGACGTTTAACTTCTCGTTTGATATTTATAATTGTTCTCCGTGCAATTATCGTCGGTTCGAAAGGGGGTAAACTAGAGTTGCTGTTCCAAGCTATTAGATGCAAAGCTCCTTGGTTTTCATTCCCGGCGATACTGTTCAACGACGCGGTAATTGCTTCGCGAAAGACAGCTCGAATTCGTTGAAGTTGGCCGAAAGGTTTTACTCGAGCAACGTCAACAAAATTAAATTGGAAATTTTTTGCTTAGAGAAATCGCAACGATTCGAGAAGTCTGTATTAAGATAAGAATCGTTTTTCATTTGTTTCCATTTGTTTGGGATTATCAACGTAATATAAAACGGTTCAACGTTACAGTGGAAAATGTATGAAGGTATCCGATACGAGAAAGTATGTAAGTAGCTTTATCAATGTCGCGCAGGTGGAGAACTCTTTGTCGACGTACGAGCCCCACGCCTGCATCGTCGTCTACTCTATCGTGTCTCCGACGAGCTTCGAGGTAGCCGGGGAGATATTGCATTACTTGTGGAGGGAGCACTACACCCAAGAACGAACCGTTATCGTCGTTGGCAATAAGTCCGACCTCGCGAGAAGTCGCACAATCTCGTCCAACAGTAAGATTCTTGAGGCAGTCCGTAATTACGCAAGGTGGACCAATAACGGTTAGCATCTTCAACGTTGCGATGGGAGAACAAATCTTCAAAGTTTCAAAGTACACAGAAGCTCGGCCTTATCTCTTGGAACATTACGCTATCCGTATATCTAAGATATCAGAATTACTAATTGTTATTGGTCGACCGTATACGCAAGGTGGTTTGATAAATATTCGTTTAGCAGGATCGAGGAGAATGTATCCGTCGATTGGTCGAACGTAGAAATAAATAATCAGGTGAAGGATTTCCAAATAGTTTTTCATCTGCGACTCGAAATACTGGGTCTTGAATACGAACGCTAAACCGATTCGATCGATTCGTCTCTCTCTACGAATAAAAATTCTCCACACGTTATGGACGCCAAGGTTTTAATAAGCTCGATGTTAGCCGAGCTACGCAAAAATTCACGAATATCAAAGCCGAAGGTTGAAAGACAGACGCGATATTGCGAGCGTATCGAGGCCGAACGAAATGGCTGGAATTTCGATGAGAAGTTCCGGGCCCAGTTGCGAATTCCGTGATCGAATTCCGTGTTCTTTCGCAGAGGGAAAGCTGCTGGCGACGTCGAGGGAATGCAAGTTCATCGAAACGTCCAGCGGTATGCAGCACAACGTGGACGAACTTCTGGTGGGTGTCCTGAAGCAGATTCGGCTTCGCGAGATGCGCGACAAGAAGCTGAAACGTCAGGGCAGCAAGGGAAAGATTCTATCGAAACTTCATGGTAGCAAGACAGCTGTCAGTTTGAACCTTGCCAGGGAAATACTGAACAAGATTTGTATGAACGACAGCAAGAGCAAGAGCTGCGAGAATCTGCATGTGCTCTAAGGACATCGTGCAACGGTGATAATCGATTTCCTCTGAGTTGAATAAATCTCGAATCGTTGTAAATATTGATAAATCGAAGCTGTCGAATAATCCTTCTGTCGGGATTGACCCGTTAAGTACCAGTTTATTATTCACAAAGATCGCACGATTTTTGTCTGCTGAGTATCGGTGCTTAATGGGTGTATCGATAGTCCGAGATTTCTTAACGAGATCTTCCACCTCTGATCTTGTCAAAACACTGTTCGGTGTGTGGGTGAAATGGTCCTCGAATTCTGGATCGTGACGTCTAATTCTAATCTTTTACCGTGTAACGAATTCAGGCCTAACACTGTCCCGGAAACTCGATGGACGCGCAAACAAGGAAACTTTCGCCCTTCCAATCATGCTCCGTCCCTCGAATATTTGCTTTATCTTCCGTTTGCCCGTCAGTGGTAAGTAAACATCGTTCACAATCGTAGAAAACAGGTGGAAATGCGATTGCGAGCGAGGGACCACCTCGAACGCGTGTGTGCTACCAAATTCGAAGCAAGGAGCATCCCTTCGTAATTTTACTTTACTTTTACAAACGACTATCGAAAAGGCAACTTTCGTATACTGACTCGTATCTTCTGAGTTCATATATAAAATAAGTTAAATATAATTATTATCGAAAAGATGGAACATATCTGATAGATAAAAAAAAAAAAAAAAAAAGATGTCGATAATTTACTTCACACGCGACGCGCCAATATTCGTGTCACATCGTTGCATTCCTACATATACGATTTCCGTATAAACGAATAAAACATGAAGTATAGAGCTGGGCTCATACGTGTGACATATTGTTCGGAATATTCAGTTGTCTCGTTTAATACATTTTATTCGTAGGATACAAATACCACGTTCGATGGAAACGTGGGTTATATCAAACAGGATTAATATCGACAAATATAGCGCGATCTGTGGCGGACGGTTTTCCGACCTAATGATAGTCGCGAACGCGATAAAGGTCTTCGTGCCAAATTGACTGCTTCGTACAAGGGAATGCTCCATCGAAGTATCGATGTCCTTTTGCGCTCCAAATATTGTTTCGGAGGAGTGCACAAGGGTTAAACGCGTTTCCGACGAATTCCAAATTCGTTGGCAGAATTTCGTGGTTGATGAGTGTTTCGATTGGTCGAGATCCCTCTTTTCCACGGACAATTTTTCATGGCCACGATTGTCGGCCGGAAATAAAAGCGTAATTCCACCTAGGAATTGATTGCGGACCAATATGCGCCGCAGCAAGTTCGACGTGCGTCAGCCATCAAAATTAGAATCGAAGACAAATGGTCGAAGGATCCGTCGAGCGACAACGTTGGTAAATTTTGGCGACTCGTTCCTACCCTATTCGATTATTTATTAGGATCTAATGGGTAACACGTGCTCCTCGTCTCTCTCGTTGCGACGCGCGCGCACGTCGTCGCATGTATCTCTCTTCCTTAAATTATTTAAACGAAAAACCATGGGCAAAAGGTACTTTGAGGTATTTTAAGGTACTTTCCTCGAGTATTATTCTTCTACGACCTTTCGTTTTAAAAATCGTGCAGCTGATGCAACGTCACTCTTTCGTTTACAATTAATTGGACGCTGGTTACGTCCAAATACGACGCTGGACGTCCCATTCGCTTCGCGCGACGCGAAACGACACGATGTTATGTATAAATACAGCGTACTTTAGCGGTTAAATGAGTGTGCCATGCCACAGTTTGAAGAGCATCGCTCCAGACTGTGCCGCGAGTTTATCAAGTCTAAGAATCGCTTGTCCAGTGGAAGAATCGTTTGGTCGTTTTCCACGAGTACTAAATCACTGAGGAAACAGCATTCAATCGAGTAGGGACGGCCTAAAAACGTATAAGACGGGAGGAACGTCTCTCCCTGTCGGTATATGTGTGCGTGTGTGTGTATAGACCTATTGTACCATTTTAATATGCTATGTAGTATATGCAAGCGAAACGTTTTCGACCCCTACGGTTTGGCCCTCTTTATATATTTGATTTAAATTTTCAACAATCTTTCGAGACGGAACCTAATCAAAAATATTACCGTTAAACTAAATATCAGAATACACTGCGTGTAAAAACAGTCACTAGAATTCAGCTGCGTTTCATTTGGCCAGATGCCAAAGAGCCGTGTAATGATATAAAACAATGTTGCTTTTATATAAAAAAAAATAACAATGTTTTTGATTAGAATAAATGCAGTATCTTTTCTTTGAAAAAATTAATCGCCATCGTCAGGTTGTGTACGAACAATGTACGGTTCTTATACGGCAACAAGTAAGTAGAAGCAATATAAATTGAAGCTACTCGAGGTTCTGCATATATTTTTTAAAATAATAAAGGCTAAACGGCTGTAGAGAATAAAAAAGTGAAACGCTGAGAAAGTTTGAGAATTGCTTTGGAATATTCTTGGAAGATGATTCGTCGTTCCATAAAATATTGGAATTTTTTGTCGTTGTTCGCGATCCCCGATGAACCTCGATATTAACGCAACAGGCCCTCTCGCTCCTCTTCGACCCCTTATGCATTGTCAATCGTTCCATCGTAATCGCGAAGATGCATACTTCAGAACCACCACGAAACCCCGAAAGGTTGGTCTATTTTTATATGCGCAAGCTCGTCTGGCACTTTTCATTGCAATCCGTCATCCGCATGATCAACGTTTTCCGACTTTATAAAAACCGACACCTGGAGCGCGAGGAACTCGACCAAAGAATACTTTCCTTTTTTTCTCGACCTTTGGGCCATTGAAAAATCCTAAGTTTAATATTGGTTTTGAACAGAGTACCTGTACGTTCACACGACAATCAATTTATTTTGCTAACTATCGTATTTTACTGGATATCTGTAGTAGAACTTAGACTTTGCGTGTTTACGTCGAAATAAAAGCAATATGCGCGACAAGTGTTTCTCTACTCTACTCTGTTTACCTAAAATTCATTCTTTATCAATATCGCAGTACATGGAAGTAATTTAAATTTAATCGCGTTATCGATCTAAGAAGAAAACTTCTATAAAAAGGACGCAACGCCATCTGTCATAGGATCGCTCAAGTTTGTCGAGAAGTAGTTTGAGATATCCGCTGGTATATGTCGCGACTAGTACAAAAAAATCTTATTGAAAAAAAGTACATCAGAAAGCGTTTCTCAAGGTGTAGTTTAGTATTAAAACGATTGTAATATAATTACAAGTTCATTATTAGACGTAGTTTAATAGATTATACGAATATTATAAATATATCGTAAATGTCGGTAAGGCCGTACTTGGTGGCGGCATCTAGCGTTGACAAATGGGAACTATTTCTCGACAAACTTGAGCGTTTTGCCACTGATGTGCGCCACATTTCATCTTTTTATACATATAGATATACAGTATTATAGCCGCGAGAAGTAAAAGTATTTCACAATTCTTGTTATCATTGCTTGCGAAATACATGGAGGTCCTGTATTCAACGTCTAATATTTACTTACTAGTTTTAACATTAATATTACTCCTATTGTGAGTCATTATTCCCCTCGTAGAGTTCAAATCGATTAAAATTTATCACAGTCTAAGAAAACTGGGTTTAATCTAAAATTTCTGTACCCTTGGCAGTGACTTTAGGCTTTCGTTAATTTAAATTGACCAAAGCGCTGCGCGCTAATTTGAATAACGCCATCTAGAGCTTTGAAAAGAAGAAGGGGAATTTATTAAAGGATCGCCGTACATCCACGTACATCCACGCACATAACGATAAAATGGCTACGTCTTGATTGTAGTATCCGGGTGCTAGAAGCGGTGACCGTGAGATCTGTCCGTTTCGCGGCGGAATTAATCACTCGTTTTACGCAGCACAGGTGACAGGATACCTAAGTGGGAAAATGTCGGCTGCTAGCAAATGGAATTTGTCCAGGGAGGACATACAAACCGCTGCGAAGGACGAAAAAGTGAGTGTTCGTTGCTTGCGTTTACGTTCGCCATGACATCGATGCGCGCTGCGTCGAGATCTCGCTGCGTGGCGGGAATTTTGAATCGATTCGCATTGCTTTAGGAGTTGCTGCTGGAGCACGATAGCGATCCTGATGAAAACATGCTGTTCAAGTGAGTTAATTTACGCGAGCGTTACAAATACAGATTTAATATAAATCTATTACTATATGTATTAATATTTCTTCTTTTTCTTTTTTCAGCCAACCTAGTACATCCACGACGGAGACGAACACGTCCAAAACGGATGGAAAAATGGACAGGTAACTGTGACTTCCGCTTCTCTGTTTTACACCCGACGTTAGAAATATATAAGATTATGATTCCTGGTCGTAAATATGTACGTTTATGGATTCAAGCGTTCGATTGCAAATCCACGAGGTAACGGAAGTGATGCGCGATAACGTTCAGAAGGTGATGGAGCGGGGCGAGAGGCTGGAGGATCTTCAGGAAGCCAGCGATCGCTTGTCCATGGTCGGGGGTGAGTTCAGGGCGGCTGCGAAGAGGGCCCAGCAACGAGCGTGGCTTCAGAACTTCAAGACGAGAATCATTCTCGTCGCCATCACGGTGACGGTCGTCGTCTGCATCATCGGTACATAAGTAAACTCGAGCGTCAGCTTGAGCATGCATGAGTGTATGCATATTGTTAACAGAATTCCTCTTATCGCACTTCTGCTTTGGAGCAGGAATGCCCGATACGGCAAATATTATTTCTGGGTAAAAGATAAGTCCTAACGCGAGATGGGCCAGCTAAATTGAGCTTTACAATTACAGAGGCTATAATTTACACAAAGGAGTAGTCGAGAAACTTTGTTGCATTTGTAATCGGTTCAACATTTGACAATAGTAGGATTTTTATATTAATTCAAAATCGAGCATTTCCGGTTCAAAGCACTCGGTTGACGTCTGTGCTCACCACACGCCGTTCTTTTGTTTCCCTCTAAACTTTCTCTTTTATTCTCTGGACAATTCTGTTTTTCGTTGCAAATCATTTGTCGTCATTTGAAGATCGTTTTAACGCAGCACACGTAGTCAGATCGACGCGTATCGTTTTCAGTTCTGGACATCATGGTGCTTTACCTGGTACTCAGATAGCGAACACGGTCTAGCGAGCTTCGATCGTTCGATATCAGGTATTCACTAGTTCTTCACTAATATAATTTACTCCGTTTCGTTAGCTTTTTTCTTCATCTGAAATTATCACCCAGGCGACGAAGTCAACCAAGTCGGCGCGAAATTTCCTTTCATCGTACGAGGATTTTATTGAAACGCGCATCTCCTTTCATTCTCTATCGCTTTTCATGCTCCCTCGACGTGCCCAGTCTCGCTTCCATTCTTTTTTCCCCAATCAACGGACACGTAAACTACGTATACGTATCACTGGCGTTTTATTTTTCAGTATCCATCGTCGTGAAATACTCGTGACCGAGAGCTCCTTCCAGACTGAAATCCAATTCTTTACGAACCTACGTTGTATATTTGTACCTGTCTTTCATGGAGTATATACGTGTATTATAATCGTACGTTTATATAAATACATATCTTATTATTTTTAATCGCTCCGCGGTCTCTGCGTCACCTTCCTCCACCTGACTCTAACGATATCGTCACGATTGTTCGTCTATATTCCTTTTTTAACCAATTTATTAATATACGACGTATTCCAATTATTTACAATCGCCTCGACTGTTCGCGATCTTATCTACATTCTTCGTATCCGTGTTAGTTAATTCTCCGTTGAGCTGTAAATTTGTACGAACATCGCGTCGATCGAAAAGCCACGACTGCGCGAGATTTAATCAGCTTTATCAGTAAAAGTCAGTGAATATTGTAGGCCAAAGAACGCGTGCGTGCAAGTTCTTGCCAAAAGCAAAATTGCACTGCGCTTGACAGCGGTTGAATGCGCAAAGTTCGCGCTCCATAAAAATATCGATAAGAGTTTATGTTAATAACCTATGCTCGCGGGCAGTGCTGTCGATCGTCTTAGCGAACCTTTGAAGCTCGTTTAATTCTTAATGTGATACTAAATAAAATTCAAATTTCCAACAATCCTCTCCAAGAAATTTGCGCGGGCTACGCCAATGGATATCAATGACGATCACTTGTACGTTCCACGGAGACGACACGAGTACGCTTGTACTTACACACGTACACGCGAGCCAAAGGATAACCGTGCGGATGCACGCGTTCGTTCAGTCGTCGTACGGTTGTGGCTCGGTGTGCTCGAACTTTCAGCGCACGGCGAACGAATTCGATCTTATCGTCGGTGGGGTTTCCCTTCGTCGAGCAACGATCTTCTGCGTCGCCGTGTAAACGATCGATAGCGCGCCGATAGATTGATCAGTGCGCGTACGTCTCTCGCGGAGCCATGGGAGCGCACGAAGTGGTGATCGCGGCTTTGACCGTATTTATCGGTGCCTATTTGCTCACCGGAAACCGCCGACGCGTCATTTGCGCTCTCTACAAGACCTTACCTAGAGATGTGCTGTGAGTATCTCGAAACGAACCTTTGTGGAATCTTCCTTCGAACCAGATGGTACTTTCGATTCGTACCGATCGTTCCGCTGCGGCGCGCTCCAAATTTAGAATCGTGCAGCTTTTGCATAAAATGTTTCTTTAATGCGCACGTTGGGAGTTAATCGAGATGCACGAGTTGCGTGGACCCACAGACACACTACTACCTATTATAAAAATTAGTTTTCTGTTTGTGTGATAGGCTATTATCCAGACCGAATAAAATAAAATCACGACTATATGGAAATCGCTACCGATATTCGAATACGGTTGCTAACAAGAGACCTACTCTCACAACGGTTTAGTAAAACAGCGAATGTATCGCAGTAAATGAATTTAGTGGTCGTACTTGTACTTCTCTTAACTGCGAAAGGGTTAAGTCTCACCGAGTGGTGGCTATCAGAAATTATAAACGCCAGTCGATAGCAATCTTGAGAGATAATTTTGTTTTGCCAGTGAAACGATAGGTTTGACGTTCGTAAATAAAACGAGAAAGAGTAAAAATCAACTTTCAGAAATGAGAAAAAACATGTTCCTTAATGCCATTGATAATCTTTTCCAAAAACACTGGTTGAAGAAATGAATATTTTTATCAAAGGTTTGGTTTTGATCAAATTACGCACAACATCCAGGCCGATAGAGAAACAGGTGTATACGTAAATTTTCTGACAACGAGGTCTGTTGCTACGTGTAATGCTAATGCGCGGAGAACCACGTGTTTACACGAGTTTAAGATAGCGAACGTCCAAAGAAGCGGCGTAAATGAAACATTGAATAAAAATTGACGAGAGAACGAGCGATTTTTGTCTCTCGTGATGCATGACACGCGTTTACAGGCATGCTTATAGAAATTTAAACAGATTCTCGTGACCTTCTTTTTCTGTTCAGTCTTACACGAAATGATTTTTATTTACTTCAAGTTCCACTTCAAATGTACGGACTTCTGTATTCCAGAAGCTATACATGAAGTGTTTAGTTTGTATACGACATGACCATTACCTTATTCGATCAGCTGCCTCTCCTTCCACCTATTTCGAGCGGTTCGGAACAATTAGAAATATCGAATCTTCTAAAAATCAAAGTAAAGGAACCAACAAAGGAATCATTGTTTGTTGTAAATGAATCATTATTAGGTAAAATTATTTCAACAGCAAAAATATCCATGTACATTGTTTGATCATAGATAATTCTTTTCATGATATACAGCTACCTACAATAAACGTGGTCACTTAATCGTGTGTTTACTTTTAAGAGTATACAATGGTTAAAACGTTAAAAATGCATGAAACGACTTTGCTTTAGGCAGAAAAATATTCAAAGATGTCTGTCTTAAAGGCCGTTTAAAATTCCTTTCCCGGAAATTATTTCTTGGCGATATCACTTTAAAAATCATCTGCTTCTTCTGAAAACCGCGTTTTACTCGACTTTGCACAGTGAATCGGAATCGAGAGTCCATCGTCCAAGACGATGCGTGATCAGGTCCACCCCTCATCGATCAATGGCCGTTTAGACGAACGTCTCGATCGATTGAAATAAATATGTAGATGGTTGAGTCACATCGACGCGGATATCGGTTCGGTTTAGTCGACGCCAATCATATGCGCACGGTTCGAAGGAAATCGAACGCGTCTCCTGCGAGACGTAGGTAACTAATTGTTGGTAAACGTTACATAATTCACAGAAGTAGCCAGATGTTTGACATTGATTTTACGAACATGATTTCTTATGGAACGTAAGTTCTGTAAATCAATCTCCGTCGAACAAATGCAAATACTACACTATTACTCCTCTTTTACAATGTCTTCTTTGCTGTAAAATACTTGGTAATGTATTGTACGTACTAGTTTTATGGGTAGTAAAAATAATTTTTTTCGAGGTATAAATAACCAGTTCTGCTGCTTCGTAGAACATAAAAATGTCCACATTAAATCTGTAACATGTTTTTATTATGTCGTTACTGGAAGAGTAATTACTGTTGACCTATGACTGTAAACATTAGAATTTTAGTTTTACGTTCGAACTTTAGACACGAGTAAATTAGTAAAAATGTCCTTAGTCGAGACGAAATAAAGTGCATCCAAAGTCCGCGTAAATAGTACACAACGGTATCGAAAATCTTTGGAATGGACCGCTACGCGAGACGGTGACGGACAGCGCGATAAAAATATCGATCAACGTTCAATGAAATATTCAAATTAAATTTCGTCCATCTTCCCTTAAGGACACCCCGGAGAAAATTTCGTCTTCCCTGGCATCTCGGGTATCAATAGCCTTAATTGATACACCGTGCCAGTATACATCGTCCGCGTGTATTTGTTCGGCTATCAGCCTGCACACATTCGTCGGCGGATGCATCTCGTGCATTGTGCAGCTGCGACACGACCATTGTACAGCCAATATGAAGTGCATGGAATTTAAACAGTTTCTTCAATGATATTGATGTTGATCCCGCAATTATACTCGAGAACCAGAGTTGGGCAGAATTTTATGGGAACAACGGATGCCGAACGAGAACACTGAACGGATTAAAAGAATTTCTTTTCCTATCGTTTAGGTTTTATTCAAAGTAAAGAAAGAGTATATGCGAAACACGAGTACGTATCTATATGCTGTCACTAACCTCGAAAACAATGGAATCGATACGAAACGAATCGGATCAATAAAAGCAGAATAAGAAGACAGACTTTGGAGCAATGAACCGATGTACTTCACGTGTCTCCACTCAACGACGATGTTTCAGAAACATTCCTGCGCGGATAATTAAATTGTTCGGACATTTGTCACGGCATGCTAGTTGAAATGATGGAATATGCTCCGGTATCGATTGCCATACGTTGCTTGTTTCTTTTGGTTCGACAATTGAGCTTCGTCGGGAAGGAAGATTTATTGCTGGTCGTCAGAGGGGAATTTAATCAATGCCGTTCATATGAAAATGCTCCGTTTCCTTGTTCCACGACTGAGGCTCGTCAGGAATCAATTACAGGACGGCTGCTTCACGAAACGAATTATCGCAACATTGAACGAATCAATGTTAAAAATGACGATTAATGAAAAATCAGTAATTATGTTCAATGAAGAATAAATCACTTATTTATGATTACGGTGGTGTATTATTCTTAAGTATTTTGTGGTAATGTGTCATCATCGTTCTCATTTTTTCTCTGTAGAAAAAGAGTCTCGTCCCTCCATAGTCGAAGTATACGGAGTTCAATGAGAGCACGAACCGTAGGCTATGGGACTGGTCGTGTAGGTAACGCGTTCGACTGTGGATCCGAGGATCGTGGGTTCGAATCCTCGGCGCCTCACCTTTCTCGTTTTAGGACTCCCACAAGAAGTAATCGCGAACTAATAATCACTGTCCGCGTTGCAAGCAAAACTCGTAACGTGCGTGATCGTTATTTGCAAAATTCTCTCTCGATGCGAAGAATAAACACTTGAACGTGCGTCCTTGTTCGTGAACGAGTGATGGATACCAACGTTTACATTCCATTAAGCGTTGGTCTATCGCGACTCGAAGAGTAAACGTCTCATTTGCCCTGCGCCGTGTTTACTGTATACAGTGCAGTTTCCTACAAGACCACATTTTTTTTTTTTTGTCTTGAGAATTTTTCCCCCATTACGGGGGCTTAATGCGAATTAAACAAAGCATAAACTCTACGATTGACAACTATTTAAGCCAAATATCTAATCGGCGTTCAAATATTACTTTTAAGAAAATTGTTAACGATATCGGGTTCTTTTCGTACAGGCAACAAAGAGACACGTTATTTATGTTATGTTACGTACAATTAATTGTCGTATACATGTAACGTCTGGCTTGAACACATAAAAACAAGGAAACGGAATACTGTGATAGTGTCTTAGGAAATGATTTATCGTGGAAAAGGCAATTACACTGTTCGAGATAATTAAACATGCAGCTGCTCGAACCACTTATTGTTCAGTGACACGATTCGTAGCGTGCTTCAAAGTCTCAGACATGCTGTCGATACGGTAGGCGCTTAGTGGAAGTATTCTTATTGCACGGTATTTCTTTCGTTTTTGTTATTCGAACCGTGATCCCAGTAATTGCTTTCAGCATAGAGGCCGCGTGGCATTTACATATAGCTAGATGAGTAATTCTTTTATTTTTAGAAATAGGAAAGTTTTTTCAGGCAGAACTTGTTTCGAGGGATGGTTGTATGATGTATACAGGTGCATCGAGAATTTCGCGAGCACTAACGAGTACCAGTTCCCGATTTACACAGGTGTTAACGAACCAACGCCACGGGGGTTAACGTATCGCAACGAAACCGCGAGCGACGAACCACAGTTGCAGGTTATCCTCGTGTCTCCTGGCACGCAGCGTGCTTCATTATTTTATTTGATTTCATTTAATCACCGTGGAAGCACTGCTAGGGTCCGACCACTGGTGTCGTATGTTCACCGCGATACGAGAGCTTTGACAAAGGCGTAATCGTCCGAGACGGCAACATTTACTTCCCCCATGATTCATAGGGCGAAGGTGAAGAGAAACGTAATCTTTCAGAAGACGGTACGCGAGAGGGGAGACGTTCGAATTAAGTGTAACTGGGCAGATTTCTATCGTTTCTTTGTCCTTTCAACAAAACCACTCGTCTCATTCGATGAATGATATACAAGCCCTTCATCGATATTCCTGACAATTTGTTCACCATTCAAGTCGGAGCTTACACGCAGGCTTACCACAAACCGTAGCGAGTATTCGCAATTTTGAAACGTCCGTTTGCGGTTGACGAAAATTTTCAAACGTCTTCGGCTAATAGTGTCGCAATCAGACAAGTGTCAAAGGAGCAATGACGGAAAGGTTGCGCTCGTGTGATACGTGTCACGCGCGTGTCGGGCCGCGATATTAACCAATTGATTCCGAAAGGAAACGATGTGACATTAGGGGAGTGTGGCAAGGAGAAGGGAGGAGTTACTATCGACTCGGGCAACATGCTCGAGATTTTCATCGGTCGTACCTCTATTCGCTTCCCAACTAATCGTTTCATTCAATCCTTTTCCGACTGATCCCTTTCCCATAAACGTGCCGCGCGGAATACATCGAATCAAACCTATTCGAATCGATGTTAATTCTCCTCGACGAATTACCCGATAAGCGCGATCGTTAACCAGCCCTCGGACAGTGGAGGGTTTGACGTAGGGTGAAACGCGGAGTCGCGTCACGCTTCGTTATAATTGCTAAATAGTTGTCGAGAAATATATATATGTAAAACAACGATGGGAGAAAAGGGTTGAATAGACGTTTTCTGTCGTAACAGGGGTGTCTACAGATTCATTCGAGTGAATATGGTGTTATGGTGGTGGGAATCGCGAGGGTGGACGGTGTCGAAGGTGTTCACCAATATCGCCACATCTCACCCCGACAAAATTGCTTTCATATTCGAGGACAAGGAATGGACCTTCCGGGATGTAAGTCGTTAACATTCGTTTCTGATATCCTCGATTCTGATACCCTCGAAGCAGGTACTACATACCGTGTTTCGGTTCTCGAATCTAACACAGATGGAGGAATACAGCAATCGCGTGGGACGTTACTTCCGCACAAAATCCTTGTCTCGCGGGGACAGTGTCGCATTGATAATGGACAGTTGTCCCGAGTACGTAGGGATATGGCTGGGTCTTAGCAAGGTTGGCTTCGTGGGTGCGCTCATCAACACGAATCTGCGCCAGGATGTTCTGGTACACAGCTTGAAGGCGGCTAATTGCAAGGCCGTAATATTTGGGTCGGAATACAAAAATGGTAACGTTCAATTCTATTTTCTTGATGTTTTGTGCTACCTGGAGAGCGCGAAATAAGCTCCGAGGCGTATAATGTCTTTTTCTGCAGTGATTGGTGATATAAGGGAGAAAATCTCGGACTTGCCTCTGTATCAGTGGTCGGACTTGTCGGAGACGCAGCGTTTGGAGAGAGCGACCGATCTGAATACGGAAATCCGCAGCATCGATCCGACACCTCTCGTCGACGACCTTGCTCTTGGTCCACGTGACAAATTGATTTACATCTACACGTCGGGCACCACTGGGGTGCCGAAGGCGGCCGTTATCACCAACCTGAGGTGGGGAACTTCAAAACATGCATTTCCAATTTTTATCGAATACTTTTATATCTTCTCTTAAATTTATAACAGAGATTACAAGTTCACGTATCGTTTTACACTTTACGACTCGTGATTGTGTCCGCGTAAAAAAATCTAAATTATACTTGGAGACATTTTCTACAGTAGAAACATCGATGGTTAATGGATTGCGTTTTCAGATTTATGCTGATGTCTTGCGGCGTTTACTCGATGTTAAACGTGCGACCTACGGATCGCATTTACGATTCGCTGCCGCTTTATCACTCGGCGGGAGGAGTGCTCGGAGTAGGCCAGGCTTTGTTGAATGGTGCCACTGTCGTACTTCGTAAACGTTTCAGCGCTTCCAAATTTTGGCCGGACTGTGTCCATTACGAATGCACGGTAAGTTATCCGAATGCGTTGCCGATCGCACTTGAACGACGCACAACGCCTGACCAAGACTTTTGAAATTTTCAATCGTAGATCGCTCAATATATCGGCGAACTCTGTCGATATCTGTTGGCCGTTCCGCCAGGGCCTTGCGATACCAAGCACAAAGTGCGACTGATGTACGGAAACGGTCTAAGGCCGAACATCTGGAAAAAATTCGTGGACAGATTCGGCGTGCCGCAAATTGGCGAATTTTACGGCGCCACTGAAGGGAACTCGAACCTTGGTAACTCGACAGAATTCGCTTACATGCCTCGATCGTGAATTCGAAGGAGTCAATTATTTCTTCTCGTTTCATTTCAGTCAACATCGACAATACAATTGGCGCCGTGGGGTTCGTGCCGTTGTACGCAGGTTCTTTTTATCCTGTAGGTCTATTGAAGGTTGACGAGGAGACCGGGGAACCGGTGAGAGGACCGGATGGTTTATGTGTACGGTGTAAACCTGGTAAGTTTACCGAGAGTGTGCGACAAGTTACGCTGGACGATGTTATCGAGGTTGGGTAATGTTTGAATAGTTCGTCTCGTTGATTCTGGAGACTTCCTATCGCGTTACGAGTGAGAGAACGTATTGTGTCTCTCGGCGAATATAGACGTTTCGTCCAGGACGGTATTCGCTGTTATTACCGTACGTTTTCTTTTTTTTAGGTGAACCGGGAGTTTTCGTGGGGAAGATAAACTCGAAGAAGGTAGTGAACGATTTCATCGGGTACGTGGACAGCAAAGCGTCCGAGCAGAAGATCCTCCGCAACGTGTTCAAGAAGGGCGACCGCGTCTTCAATTCTGGTCGGTGATTCGTTAAAACAAAAACGGTCTATTTGTACGACAACCGCGAGAAAACATCCGCGCCATGATTAAAACGCGTTTTTCGAACAGGTGATATTTTGGTTATGGATGAGCTCGGCTACTTCTACTTCAGAGACAGGACCGGTGACACCTTCAGGCAAGTCTTTCGGTCTTTTTAATACCTCGATATTCCTTTCGTCAACGATCATTTCATTTTTATAATTACCGTCGTAGGTGGCGCGGCGAGAACGTTGCCACTTGCGAAGTGGAGGCCGTCATCAGCAATGCGATCGGTTTGAAAGATGCAGCCGTTTACGGTGTCGAGGTAATTGATAGTTAGAGACGAACGATATTTTGTAAGAGACGAAAATATTTTGGACGAGTGCCGATTTTAAATATCGTCCTGATGTTATGATATAAAAAATAGTTAATTCTATAGCGAACAAATTATTCCTGTACACTCTGTGACGTCGATAGATACCCAAAGTCGAAGGCAAAGCCGGAATGGTTGCTATTTACGATCCAAATAATACCCTCAACATCGATGAAATGGCGGAAGCTGTGAAGAAGTTGCTACCATCGTACGCTAGGCCTCTTTTCGTCCGAGTTGTATCAGAGCTGCCGATAACTGGCAAGTTTTTCAATCATCTATGTTTCGAATATGTCTAGATCCGGTAAACGAGGATGTTTGTTACCCTAGGTACGTTTAAGCTGAAGAAGAGGAATCTCCAGCAAGAAGGCTATAATATTAAAACGGTAACGCGTTATTTTGCTTACATTTCTTTCGATTTACGCGTATTTTAAAGCGAATAAATTAACAATTCTGATTGCAGATCACGGACCCAGTTTATTTCCTCGAAAAGTCGGGTGTCTACGTCAGACTGACGGAGCAGTTGTACAACGACATCATCGAGGGAAAGGTTCCACTATAAAATCGATGTGCCGAACTTTTTGTAGGAAATGTTTTAAACAGAAATAGGGTAATTCATGTTTTGTACAATTTCTATTTATTTATGGAGCGGACTGAGAAATTCTACCAAAACGGAAAACGTTCAATTGATCTTTCGTTTTTACGAATATTTACAGGATTCTACGATATCCCACTTTTTGTTTAGGATTAATCCGTAGACCATTTATATCTATATATTTACGTTATACATTTATGTTTTTTCTACGAATTTTGTACTTGGCGCTCAGCGATTCCAAGTACCGGGATAAACTATGGAGTATAGGTTTAAGGAACGCACATTGATAAAATTACCGAGGAAAATTCCTTAGATGCGGGTGTAGATATACTGTGGAAGACAGATTCCTAGAGAATAAGACTTCAAAATATTTTGTAAGCAGAAGTGATATGCACCAACTACTGTAAAGTAACGCTGTAAAATGAAAGTTCTCGTTATAGTTTAATAAATTGTTCTCTGTTAAGAAAAACCAATTCAAGCCAGGCTATCCTTTCGGAGAACCTTACATTTCGGTCACCCAGTATCGACTACGATGAAACAAAAACACAGTTTGTGCGCAGTCTCCGGAGTCCAGTGACCCCGTTCGTTATAGCGGTATTAACGACGTTTCGCTATCCAATCTAAACGTTTCGTGGAAGCTGTATTCGATGATCGAAGTCACGATTCGATATAAGAAATATTTTATAGCTACTGTACAACTTTTGGCAATATACGACGATAAAATCAGATCTCGTTCGTGCCCAGTGTGCCGAGTCTAGTGATCATCGTCGTTACCAGACCGACACAACGATGATAAAACTATCGGTTCGATACAGAAAATATTCTTTATCAAATGCAGCAATGGTTCCGATGGATAACAAACCGTTCGAATTCTTTGTGAACGCTTGACGAAATTATAGTCCGACAGTTCTATTGAATCGCGATTTGCGGTAAAACCGGTTTCCAAAAATATAAACGTAAACAATCCCTCAGGGGCTTGTTACGCCACAATGGGTCGTTCCACGTTGATTAGATAGCACTTGTCGCGACATGGAAATGGAAAAACACTCGCTACAGTGCTGCTATCGAGTGCGTGACGTTGCCGAACGGCAAACGAAATCTTTGTTTCTCAAAATAAACACGATGTGTCATCCACGATGGGAACGCGCGGATATAATTGATATAAACTACTCGAATTGACCGAGCGAGCACGGTTCGTTTCGATTGTAATCGATTGGATCTCGTTAAATTAACTCTCAACGACAGAAGAAGCACCGATCTATCGATCGAACATCGTGCGGTGTATACCGATCACTCTGTTTGCTCTCGCGTTGTTATATTTACACTCTTCAAATCCTTCGGGCTTGAAATCTTATCGAACGTGTTATCGTGCACCGAATTCAACCGATCTGGAAAATTTTCGTCTCTCCCGTGAAACAGTTGCACGCGCGCGTGAGTTCCGTAGCTCTTTAGGCACTCGATCGTCTACCAAGTAGCGTGGAAAAATGACCGACGGGAAGTTCGAGTTTGCTATAGATCGCGGTGGCACGTTTACTGACGTGTACGCCAGATGTCCAGGCGGCAAAGTTCGAGTGATGAAATTGCTGTCGGTGGATCCCGCCAACTACGACGATGCTCCGCGCGAAGGGATTCGTAGAATTCTCGAGCAGGTATTTTTATTTAACCGTTTGTGTTTGTTTATGTTTATTCATTTGTTTCTATTTAATTTCAGGAAACAGGACGAAATATCGATGGACAGATAGACGCTTCGACGATCTCATGGATTCGAATGGGAACGACGGTTGCCACGAACGCGCTCCTGGAGAGAAAAGGCGCGAAAATGGCTCTGCTTATAAACGAAGGCTTCAGGGATCTTCTTTTCATAGGCAATCAAGCTCGGCCAAATATATTCGACTTGGTTGGTATTTAAACCAAGCAATGAAAAAAGCCGCTTTATGAAGCAACGTTTCTTTTTTCAGCAAGTAGTCACGCCAGAGGTCTTGTACAAGAAAGTGGTGGAAGTCGGGTGCAGAGCGATACCTGCTTCGCCCGATAAGTGTCGCTTGGACACCAAACAGTGGCGAAAGGTAAAGGGTTCCACGGGCGAGGATTTGTTCGTCACGCAGGAACTCGACGAGGAAAGATTGAAGAAGGACCTGGAGGAGCTAAGGCAATGCGGAATAGAGAGTTTGTCGGTGGTTCTAGCCCACAGTTACATGTCAGTCATCGCGGAAATCGATTCCCAAATTTTCCAAAGTGTGTCAACGCTATTGTTTACTCCATGTTCATTAAATTTAGGTTCGCTGAACAGGAAATCAGAGTCGGCGAATTGGCAAGGCTAGCCGGGTTTGCGCAGGTGTCCCTTTCTCACGAAGTCATGCCCATGACGAGAATCGTCCCTAGAGGCTTTACTGCGTGCGCTGACGCGTACCTGACGCCCCACATCAAGCAGTACCTACATGTATATACCATTTAGACAATAATTCTGTCGTGTCCGTAGAATAACGCGCCGCTGTGTTTCGAATCGGTAACTGTGTTTCAGGGCTTTTCCTCAGGATTCAAAGACGAATTGAAAAACGTGAACGTACTATTCATGCAAAGCGACGGTGGATTAACTCCAATGAATTCGTGAGTGCAAACTGAATAGAACAGCAACCAACAATGGCACGCATTGAAATCGCTGAGAATCACTAGTATTTCACGTTGCCCGTTCACCAACGTATACAGTCATCGACGTGTACCTTGTCATCGATAACCACCGATGAAATGGCGGCAATAGAGACACTGTGATTTCAATGGAATCGAAGAACAATCAGTTCAATGCGTCTTTTCGTATAGGTTTAACGGATCACGAGCTATCCTCTCCGGTCCAGCTGGCGGTGTTGTTGGTTACGCGATGACCACTTATGGCAAGGAAACCAATCTACCCGTGATTGGATTCGACATGGGTGGAACCTCGACCGACGTCAGCCGCTATGGGGGCAGCTACGAGCACGTGTACGAAAGCACTACAGCAGGCGTCACGATTCAAGCTGCGCAGGTACTCCAACTCTTCAACAAACAATTTCATAGAAAATTCAATCAGAAATATCTCCCGTCGACCAAATAAATTCAGTGTTGATCAAAACGGGGGCCGATGGTTCGATGTTCTCAAACGTAACGAAACTGGGTTGAAGTTGGACGTGAACACAGTTGCGGCAGGAGGTGGATCCATGCTTTTCTTCAGGTCGGGTCTCTTCGAGGTAGGACCTGAGAGCGCAGGAGCCCATCCGGGACCCGCGTGCTACAAGAAAAACGGTCCTCTAGCAGTCACCGATGCGAACCTTGCTCTGGGAAGGCTGCTGCCTGAATACTTTCCAAAAATTTTTGGCCCCAATGAAAACGAGCCCTTGGACAAATCGCGTACGATGGAGTCATTCCAGAAGCTTACAGATCAAGTATGTACATGGCGATCGATTGTCTTTTAATTAAGCTGTCGGAAGCGAGTCTTAATGTTATCGAAACTCTGGTTTATAGATAAACGAATTTCTAGCGAATGAGGATCACAAGTCGAAAGGCAAGATGACGATCGAGGAAGTGGCGATGGGATTCGTCAGAGTTGCCAACGAAACAATGTGTCGACCAATACGTGCTTTGACGCAGGTATCATTTCTACTTAATTTCTGCGTGTTCTCGTACAAAATTAGTTCTCTGAAATAATACTCTATCATTGTATCGCAACAGGCAAAAGGCTACGACACGTCTCGCCACGTGTTGGCGTGTTTTGGAGGCGCGGGAGGGCAACACGCGTGTGCTATTGCACGCTCGCTGGGCATGGGAACTGTTTTCGTTCACAAATACGCGGGAATCTTGTCGGCCTATGGAATGGCGTTGGCAGACGTCGTAGAAGAAGCTCAGGAACCCAGTGCGGAAGTGTACGAGAAAGGTACGTTTCCTTGAAGAGATCAAAAAAGACACTAATCTCGAATATTTTAAAACGATCGAACTGTCTAGAATCATTCGCACGCTTGGATGAACGTCTGAACATCCTCGAGAAGAAGGTCCGAGGGAAGCTGTCCGCGCAAGGATTCACGGACGCTCGCATAATCACGGAACCATTTTTACATCTACGTTATCAAGGGACAGACTGTGCCCTGATGTGCACTCCGAGCCAAAGGAGCGCCGATGGCACGCGACACGGCGATTTTCTTACTCCGTTCCTGGAAAGGTATCAGATGGAATTCGGTTTCACTATGCCGAATCGAAAGATTCTGGTGAACGACTTGAGGGTGCGAGGAGTGGGCAAAACCGACGTGGAGGAAGACTCGGTTCTATCATCGTCTAACGAGCCTCCGAAGATGGAGAAGGCAAGCGAACAGGAAAAAATTATTACCAATGATGAACTTTTTCCTATTTTTTGAAGCTTGAAAAAGGCTGCAAATATTTATTCCCCGTCATCTTGATTCATTTCAGACCACTATGGTGTACTTCGAAAATGGTTATTTAGAAACCAAAGTGTATAAATTGGAACGTCTGTCGGCTGGACACGCGATACACGGACCAGCTATTATAATGGACAGCCTGAGCACCCTCCTGATTGAGCCCGACTGCACAGCATCGATCACTTCTCGCGGCGACGTGAAAATTACGATCGGTCAAGGTCTGAAGACAGAGGTTACGACCGAGTTGGACGCCATTCAACTCAGCATTTTCTCCCATCGTTTCATGAGTATCGCCGAACAAATGGGCAGGTAGATTAGCGATAAGATGCATTTACGAGAACCTTGCGAATCAGAGAGTATCATAAATTGGGAACCCTCCTTATCGAAGGATCCTTCAGAGAACCTCCATCTCCACGAACATAAAGGAACGTTTGGACTTCTCCTGCGCGGTTTTCGGTCCTGACGGAGGGCTGGTCTCCAACGCGCCCCATATACCCGTACATCTGGGTGCTATGCAGGAGACCGTGCAATATCAAATGAAAGTCTTCAAGGGTGAATTCACGCGGGGCGACGTGATCCTCGCGAATCATCCTTCGGCTGGCGGCTCGCATCTTCCGGATCTCACTGTCATAACTCCTGTATTCTACAAGTACTTATTTCTCCTTCTTTAATAACTGATAGTAAATTTCGTTAAGAGTAAAAGTAAGGGTAACAGAGATTTACTAACGATTACGGTAAAAAAATCTTATAATTAAATCTTTTAAGCTTTCATTTATTTCGGCAGGATGAAGAGTTATGACATTTCGACGTACACGAAGTGCCATTCCTCTTGCATTTACACTTCAGACCCTCGCATTTCATAGTGCACGAACACTTAAAAAGAGAGCGAGCAGGCGCAACTGTTCTTGTACTAACAGTCTTGTTTAAGGGTTGTTTTAATCTACAGAACCTGTCTTGTACTTCTGCAACCGTGTCCAAGACGGACTGGGCATCGCCACTTCCAGGATCGTTTTCAGGGATTCTGTCTGTTCTTTCGGTTTGAATGAAAAAAGAATCGAACGGTTCTTCT